TCTCTTGTGAGATGCAGCCTCGTAGAAGTTCAATAGCGTGGCTACACCCTCTGTGGTTCCATATCCCGCGATAACTCGATCTGCACCAAGGGACAGACAGAGCTCGACGATACTGGGCGACAGCGACGCACCTCCGAGGACAATTTGGTATAGAGTCTCTAATGGCCCGCTTTCTGGCGTGAGCTGAGCAGCGATGGCCTGTACCATAGACGGAACGCAGGCTGTATGGACCTTTGCGCCGAGTCGAATTGCTTCCAAGGACGCAGCGGGATCGAAGGTCGGACTGGGGTAGACGACTGTTGCCCCGCTGAACCAGGTCCCCAGTGTCATCACGATCGCGAAAATGTGGAAGCTGGGCAAATGCCCGCAGAGGTGGTCGCCAGGCTCAATGTTCAGGGTGTTCACCACCATGAGGCCCGGTGTGGCAATGGAGAGCGTGGTATGCGGACAGCCTTTGGGGAGGGATGTTGTTCCACTTGTGAAGAGGATGAGAATGGTGTCATCTGTGTCCGTTGGTGGCGGAGGAAGTATTGACTCGTTTGGTGCGTTGGCCATTAGCTTCGGCAATGTTGTCCAACTTGCAGGAACGCTTTGCTCGTCTGTCGCCCAGGTGATACCCTTCAAAATAGGTTGGAAACCTCCCTCTTCTAGGGCCGCATCCAGAGGCTGGATCATGGACGATGCCGAGACGAAGACCGCGGCAGGTTCCAACTTCCGCAACAAATGAAGGGCATCTGCGCGCTGCCCGAGCATCCGAGGATCCAATGGAGCGAATTGGCAGCCCAGACGAGCGGCAGCCCAGAACAGAACGGCCCATTCAGCTTCATTGAGGAGGAAAGCTGCGATGCGACTGTTCTTGCCTATTCCCGCCTGCGCCAAAGAAGCCGCCAGGCGTACACTGCGGGCATGCAGCTCTGAGAATGTCCAACGCAGGGGCTGCGGTGATTCGGTGCCTGAAGGCCCCTGCTCCTCGCTCTGCCGTAGGGCTACCACGGCGTCATGGTTCGGGAAACGCTGCGCGGTCTGTTGCAGCAAGCCAAACAAGTGTCTGTCGGGCGGATGTTGTGAATCGTCTGCAGCCTCTGCCAAGAGATTTCCCGCCATGATGAGGCGAGTGTCGAGAGTTTCGATGAGTTTTCGCGAATATGAACTACCGAGAGGAAATGAAAACTAGAGCGTCAATTGAGTCCATTGCTCAGGTTTTAAATCCCCTACCGAGCACAACCCGGCTCCATCAGGTCAGTCGACAACACCATAATTGTCAATAATCCAATAATCCGCACATCCATACTACCGGTTCGTGGATGTCCCCCTCTCCATTCCACAATCATCGACCCCATAAAATACAAAGCTTTGTTTGGTTGGAACTGGCTCGTATCGCTGCCATGCGTCCCACTACACCCATAGTTGGAACCAGTAGTTTAGGTTTCAACTGCGGCGATCCGTGCCGATCGGGGTCGATCCCGCCTGCAGCCACAAGCGTCGAGAAATTCTTCGATCAAAAAGCTTCCTAAAGCCTATGCAGGAGGGCACAACACAGACCAGGTACTGGGGTGATGGTGCAGGCACTAATTCTGATAGTCACATAATAGTCAACTGTGAGTGGAGTGATATCGAAACTGGAATTTCATTTCCATGGGCGGGGCGCACCACTGACTACCTGTTACAGTTCGTGCTCTCATCCATGTAGTAAAGAACCACTACCTCCACGTGGGCTCACCAGGGGCTACTAGGTAGCGGATCAAGCCTACAAGATGGTGGCTGTGATCCCGACCTGCGACCATGGTTCTACTCGCTGTGCCGTGGCGAAGATTACGATCGGAGGCTAGAGAGTTTGACATGACGTGCTCTGATTTCCGGGATGGGACCGATCGAGAAATCGCCTTGATTGCTTTTGCACACTGAGTTCCTGTACCTCTGATTGGGCTTGGTATTTAGGGGGAGCAGGATTCGATCGTACCCTCAGGGGGTTCCTCCGCGACCAATCTCCCGCAGAGGTGCCCTCATACCTTGCGACCAATCGCATCAGGTAACAGGGACGAGTGGCAAGATTCTGATATGGCAACTAAGGGATGAAACCTGTATCGATAGTTCCTTGGGTGGTGGGACAACACATGATGCCCAATCGAGGGGCTCTTCCACATGCGATTTTCAGGGACGATCGTCATGGGCAAACCTAAAGACCAAGAGGGATGGATCTTTGGCCGCTCAGCTGCGAGGAAATGGATATATAGCCGACTCGTTCTTCAAAAAGGTGGTCTGTGGGATATCCAGCATTCGAATTTCCCCGCTCGAGACAGTGCTTGTTGCGAGTCTGGCGCAGTCAATATGTATCTCGACACACCTTTGCAGACGCCGCGCAAAGCGAAGATCTTGATGCTTCACGGTGAGTCTCTCATCTGCTCGGAATCGTGCAAGTCCGTGGAGGTGAACTGAGCAACAACAGGCACAGGACAATCCGCCCACACCTTCCAGAGCAAGATGCGGTATCTCCACGAGCCCATCGCGCGAGCCCTCGCCGCCGCCTCCATGCAGCATGAGAGCCTCTATCCCGGGGGCGTGGAGTTCTTCTATCTGGACGGCCCGATCCCTGCCTCCTCGATCGACGCCTGCGACGAAACCTACATGAAGCCCAACCGACTGCCCGACAGCTGGCTCTGGGGCTACGGCGACCCCGAGACCTCCGAGCTCAAGGGCCTCGAGCACACCTGGAAGCGGCTGGCGAATGTTCTCACGGAACATGGACCGTTCGTCGGCGTCATCGGCTTCTCCGCCGGGGCCGCATGGTCCGTCATCCTGACTGCCTTGCTGGAGCAAAACAGGAAGAACCCTTACTTCCAAGTGCGCTCGCCCCCTCTACCTGGTCATCTGGAATCTAGCCCTAACGGAGATTAGGTCAACCACCCGCCCATGCACTTCTGCATCGCCTTCTCGGCCTTCATGTTCGAGCACCGCACGTACGAGTGGATCTATGCGCGGCGGATCCAGACGCCCGTGCTGCACTTCATCGCCGCCCTCGACACCTGGGTCTCAGAGCGGCAGTCGCTGAAGCTGGTCGGGCGGTGCGCCAACGCGCAGGTGGAGTACTTCCAGGGGTCGCACTACATCCCCCGCGGACCGCGGATCAGGGAACTGGTGACCAAATTCATTCGGAGGACGGGCGGTGGGGTGGGCGAGGAGGACGGGGGTTGCATTGGCGTATAGCCATCGCAACAATGGTGGGTGCATCAGTGGCAGTGGGTACTGTACATATTTTCCCCATGACCCGCGGGGAATTGGGTCTTAACTCGGCGTTCTATTTCTAGCTTGGCGTTCGCATTACCCTGCTGGCGTTCTCGATCTGGCAAATTCATGTGGCTCACAGTTCAGCGAATCAAATTGACTAGGACATCCAAGCCTCGAGTCGGGGATCTTCTAACAGGGGGATGGTAGGAGATTGTAATCACCACGCGTATGACGCGCTTTCCGCTGGAGCTCTGCGAGTCAGATCTACCTGCCGGATTTCCGATCCACTCCGGCAGCTTTCAATAACCAGGAACCGCGAGTTTAGCTCTCGAATTAACTCTGTGGGAGCCTATCGGTGGATCCACTGGGGAATCGTAGCAGAAGAACGCAGGGAATCTGCGCTTCAGACCCATCCACAAGCACTAATTCCGGCTGATCCACGATTGCGAAACTCACAGCTAGACCGAACTATATTTCCTTCAAGGCAAAGCACAACCCCTTGGAGACATGTTGTTCCAAGGTTATGTGCTGTCGACCGGCTTTTGGCAGAGAGGCTAATTAGGGCAGGGATCGTCCCACCCGGCGGGCGGTATCGGGCTTTGTTTGGTATCGGTGGGTGCGTTCTATCTACAGTCTGGACTGCCACCACTATATAAAAGAGACATGACGAGGTAATAAGAGAGATGTTGAGCATTTCCTAGCTAGCTTGCAGCTGTGCATGAACCCAGTTATACACCGCAAGGGTATCTGCAGCAAGCAGAGAGCATCGCTGCATGGGTAGACACCCGCCGATCAGCGGGGCGGGCGATCCACTCCGCTCGCTGTGAGATCGACACTCCATGGCCGCCATCGAGATTGCCATCGTCGGGGAGTCTCGGGAGGTGGCCGGGATGAATGGGTGACGGAACGCGGTTGCGGGCCGATTCGTCGTGTAAATGGCCTGTTTACATGGTTTTCATGGTGCTCGCGGAGATAGGGGAGGCTGCCGCATTGCGTCACTTGTGGACTTTGTGTCTTCGGGGTCTTGTGCGTGAGTAGGTTCAGGGAGTGCAGGATTGGATGAGATCATCTTGAATATGCATGTGTATTGGTGTTTTGCTACATGGTGGGATGCAAGCAGCTGATGGCCAAGGATGGTCCATGAGACCAACGCAAAGGTTTATTTTTTGCGCTCAGGCACTACATTTATGAAATCTACCAATTAAACTCATGCATATAAACGTGAAAACGGCTGAGTCAGTCTACATAAGAAAAGCATTATACAAGCAAAGAGACCTCCTTGGGGAAGAATAATTGAAGTGAGACAATGCTTGCTGTAACAGAAACATACAAGCGATGCGAACGTGAGCATGGAGGGAGGACAAAAACGTTTATGCGGTCATTGACTATAGAAAAATGCCAAGAGTAACAACCAGCATCATTGGTCTAGTGGTAGAATTCATCGTTGCCATCGATGAGGCCCGTGTTCGATTCACGGATGATGCACTTACTTTTGGTTTTTTTGATCTTCTCCGTTATAAACATCAAGTGTTATAAACATGGAACAAATCCAAGATACGTACCCGTACTATAAATGCACAAGAGACGTTGCGGCGGGGCGCGAAATACCATTATCGCAGCTTCAGTCAACACACCTTACTGTAAATTCAGGTCACCATCACCTCCCTTTCCCACCACCCCAAATCAGCACAGCCAGTCTACACTCCCCACGCAACTCATACAACTCCCCTTCCCCATCTGTAAGTCCCTTTCCTCTCCCCGCAAGGAAAAACCAGCTAACCCCCCTCCGCCCCCCGCACCATCTCCGCACTCGGCGCCTTCACCTCCACCTCCCCGAACTCCCTAGTATCCGGCAACTCCAACCTCACCTCCCGCAGAACGGCGACCTCCAACCCCCTCCCCTCCCCCTCCCCCTCGCTATCCTCATCGTGGTCCACCGCGACCTCGAAATCCAACACATGTCCGCCATTCTCCCCGTCCTCGGACAAAAAATGCAGATGGAATCCGGGCACCCCGATCCCCACCGTATACGCGGGGGACCAGAAGCCGAACAGCGTTCCTCTCGAGCGGCCGTGGTTGGTTACTTTTTGTCGTGCGGCGCAGTCGGCGAGGGTTTCTTGCGGGGAGCCGCGCCGGGGGATGATGCGGGTGGTGAGCGAGGCGAAGGTGGTGGTCAGGCGGAGGGAGAGGAAGGTGTTTTTGTTGGTGTCGAGGAGCGGGGTGAGCAGGGCGGAGAGGCTTTTGAGGGTGATCTTCTCCGAGGTGGTGGTTGTCGGGAGTGGAAGGGTGTGCGTCGGTTGGAAGGTGGTGAGCATGGCGAAGGGGATGGTGGCGGTGGGGTTTAGGCGGCGCACGGTGTTTGTGGTGGAGGGGAAGTGGTAGGCGCGTGAGTCGATGACTATAATCTCCCCGTCCAGGTCGGAGAAGGTGCCTATACCGTACGTGCCTCGTTCGAGGAGGGTGGAGGCGTCGAGGCCCTCGGTGCAGATGCCGGAGAGGAGGGCGCTGATGGTGCTGTATCGGTACAGAGTGTTGGTGTTGGCCATGGTGGTGAGTATGGGAGGGTTATGTGGGTGTTTGGAATGGAAGTGTTGAGTGATGGTGGATGTGAGAGTTGAAATTTGGCAGCTGCTATACGCCACCCCTAAGGATGTGTGTATGATAAACAGGGTGAGTTGGTGCTTGTGCTGGATGATGATTAGGGCTGCCGAGTTGGGTGATCTGCAGGTACCGCTGTACCACCAGGAAATGCAGGTCGCTCCGCATCGGGACTCTCCAATCCCTGGAACGTCCTTGCGGATCTCCTACTTCAGAAGTCGCATTCCTATATACGTATGATCATACTCGAAAGCGTATCGGCTGAGTGTTGTTAGGTTGCTGCAGCTGGGAAAAAAGTCCCCGATCCAACCCCGCAATAGATCAGATGAAGCGACATGAGCGTGTCGGACTAGTTTTTCAGCAGCCGATGGCCATTTCCAAGGCAATTTCGCTCGTGACCACCGCAGTCTCACCCTACTTTTGCATATCTTTATCGTTGACGGTCCTTTATACTTGTCAGTGGATCCTGGGTGGCGAGTTGACCTGCCTAGTAGAACTTACCTCGTTAGAGATACTTGTTTGCTTTGACTTCGGCAGGCTGAAGCCAGGATTCTGTAGACCCATCCGCCCAAACTCACCATGATTCTGATGTAAGGCCTCTCGGCCCTTCTAAAATAGGTAGTAGTAACGGGGCCACGTAGGCAGTGGCGAGAACCGACAACCTTAATGCCCGAACCGAGTAAACTCTTCATGCCGTCATTTATCTTGTGTTAACGGACACACGGACACACGACCGCCGAGAATATTCGCCGAACGACACATTCCCACCCATCGAGCCTGCGGATATAAGATGGCAGCAGGCTCGCTGGTCTATACGAAGCCCCATGCAACCGAAACCAGCCTTGGAGCCTCGCATTATGACTCGCAACGAAGAAACTCAGCTGACTGGCGGTGAGTAAATCTGCGAAGAGCTCGCCCGCCGTGGGGTCAAACACGCATGTAAGTACTATTCATTCCCCGTTCCGGCGGTGTTCTAAACGGAGGGATGACGTACTGATAAACAGCGCAGTTGGCATCACCGGCGGTGCGGCCTTAGACATCTTTGACCCCCTGCACTCCGATCCGCCCTTCACCTTTATCCTGGCCCACCACGAGCAAGGCGCCGGCCACATGGCCGAGGGGTACGCCCGCGCCTCGGGAAAGCCAGGCGTAGTGATGGTGACCTCCGGGCCGGGGACCTCCAACCTGGCCACCCCACTCCTGAACGCGCTCCTCGACGGGGTGCCCTTGATTGCCATCTGCGGGCAGGTGCCGACCGTCGTGCAGGGCACGGATGCCTTCCAGGAAATCGACAGCCTAGGATTGGGAAAGACCTGCACGAAGTGGTGCGGGATGCCGCGTGGTCCTGAAGAGCTACCGGAGTATCTTGCCCGAGCGTTCGAGGAAGCCACCGGAGGAAGACCGGGGCCGGTCCTGCTGGCTATTCCTAAGGATGTGTCTGGTGCACACTTCCGTCCCGAGCAGGTGCAGAATGGCGACAGGACCGTTGACAAGTGCTCTTCCTCCGTTCTTGAACAGCCAGAAGAAGGTACTCTAGACGAAGTCGCAAACTTGATTAACAAGGCCAGCAAGCCGGTCATTGTCGCAGGCCACGGGCTCCTTGGCTCCCACCCTGGACCGGAGCTGCTCAACCAACTCATAGATAGCATTGCCATGCCCGTGACGACCACCTTCCTAGGCCTAGGCGCCTTCGACGAACTTCAGCCCCTAGCGCTAGGCATGCTGGGCACGTACGGCACCGTACCCGCCGACCTAGCGGTGCAGAACGCCGATCTGGTCCGCGTGATTGGGGCGCGCCTCGACGAGCGGGCCGTCGGGAACGCCGACGGGTTTGCGCCTGCTGCGCGGGACGCCGCGACCAAAGGAACAGGCGGGATCGTGCATTTTGATATCTGTCCCGAGCAGATCGGCAAGGTTGTGCGTCCTACTGTCTCTGTGGTGGGAGATTTGAGGACGACGTTGCCTTCACTCCTGGAGAAGGTTACGCCGGTGGACGCAGAGGTGAGGAATAAGTGGTTAGCCACGGTGCAGGACTGGAAGCAGCGTTTTCCGCTGGAGTATCAGCCTCTTACGCCTGGGGAGAAGCAGGGGCTGCTGCCGCAGGAGGTGATTATGCAGTTGGAAGCATGCACCCGCCACCGCAAGGAGGAGATCCTGCTCACGACCGGAGTCGGGCAGCATCAGATGTGGACGGCGCGATACTTTCGTTCTCGGGTGCCCAAAGCGGTGATCGGCTCGGGGGGGCTGGGAACGATGGGCTTCGGGTTGCCAGCTGCCGTTGGGGTGAAGCTGGCGCGGCCGGACTGTACGGTGGTCGACGTCGACGGGGATGCGTCGTTCTGTATGACCCCGCAGGGGATCCTGACGGCTGTGCAGCACGGGGTCGATGTGAAGGTGCTGCTGCTCCGGAATGAGGAGCAGGGGATGGTGCAGGAGTTGCAACGGGGGATCTTTGAGGGCCGGATCACGCAGGTCGACCAGCGCAATCCGGACTTCGTGCGGTTGGCGGAGAGTATGGGGGCGCAGGCAAGACGTTGTGCGCGTCACGAGGAGTTGAGGGATGCGGTGGACTGGTTGCTGGAGGAGAAGGGCGTGGCGTTGTTGGAGGTGGTGGTGGAGGGGAGGTTACCCATGGTGCCCAAGGTGGCAGGCGGGAAGGCGTTGGATGGGATCTTGGATGGGTTGGAGAAGAAGGGGGATGGGAGTTAGTTGGGAGATGAATAGCTCCTCACCTATTTGATGATAGTTACGTGGTTTTGTGGTTGTTCTTAGGGCTCCATCGTTATGCTCCGCTTCTACCCTCCCTGACCAGCCAAATGCAACCCCGTAAAATAACTTAGATATTGCTAGAAAACCACCATTTCTAGATGGTCTTAAGGAGCCTCAACTAGGAACATGCTCTTTATACGTATATCTAGTAATCGAAGCCATGGTTTTGATGTTTGGACCTTTAGTCACACAGTAACTCGTGAAAAGCTGCATACTACTTTAGCTGGCTAGGCAGGGCAAATATTCATCTACCCGCTTTGCCAGCTACATTTGGTGACTGTCACAATACAAGGAGATATTCTTCTAAGTCTGAAATTTCGAGCTCACTGCTTACTGTGACTGTTGAATTTCCAGTGGGTATAGGTTCTTTCACCAAGTTATACATAGGAGTCAATCTGGCCAGGGAGGTCCACATTTTCCACATAAGCACGCTATACATACATAAGAATAGTAAGCAGCAGTGGCGTCCTGCACAACCCCCTTTCCGTCCCAAACAAAACACGCTCAAACACGAAACAAAAGTGGAGCCAAACTCCACCCCGCGCCCGACACTCCGCCACCTGAAACCGAGCTGACTTGGCTGTTGTGCACTCTGTACTCCGTAGATTGTCGCGAATCTAACCAACACCTGTCAATCGACATTTGTTCTTCTCAGTTTTGGTGAGGAGAGATTGACTCGGAAGCCACCCACGGTCATGTGACCGAGCCAAGCACCAAGGCAAATGAGGCTGGCTTACTAAATGATGACTAACTTATCTCTAATTAATGTTTCCCCAACACATCTTGTACAGCGACACCCTGAACAACAACAATCATTTCCACCTCCCTTCTTCATTTGTTCATCCCACCAAGTATTTTGCTATTTCCAATATAGTCAGATAATAGTACTCAAAACTATGATGCCGATATCATGATTCGCAAATTTAGGTCTCGTTTAACTCGGCAAGGGATGCCCTTGCCTTCGAACAGTTCTTCGAGTACAAAAGCAAGCCGAAGCCGGCCACTCCACACAGATTGGAACACTAACCCCGAATTTTTCCGATATACGAGAGGCCGCTTCATCGTAAACGAAGCTCATGAGATGGCTATCCGACATGTCCCTTTCAACATGAATGAATTGGCCAAGCGTGCGGCCGAGTCCGTTGGCTCGACGCCCACCGAATGCGCCCGGGTCGAAAAGTTCCCCGACGGGATGTTCAACAAGGCGTTTCTGTTCACCATGCAAGATGGTACGCAAGTGGTGGGAAAGATTCCTAACCCTAACGCGGGGCGGGCTCATCATACCACCGCCAGTGAAGTGGCCACCATGGATTTTGTCCGAAATCATCTAGAGACCCCGGTACCCAGAGTGCTGGATTGGAGCTCCAAAGCAAACGAGAATCCCGTGGGCGCGGAATACATCCTAATGGAGATGGTTACAGGCGTCTAACTTAAGAAGATCTGGCCCAGTTTAGACATCAGGGACAGATTTGAAGTCGCAAAGTCAACCTCCAAGTATCAAAGGGCCTGGATGTCCGCATCATTCACCCAATATGGAAGTTTATACTAATCGTCCGATCTGGATTCTCCCGATACGTGCGTGCTCACCAAAGAGGATGGATCTTAGAGCACAGGGCATCGCTTTGCTGTCGGTCCATCCACAGGTCGAGAGTTTCTGGATGATGGACGGGCCGCATTGGAATTCGACCGAGGCCCATTTGAGACGCTCGACCCAACCCTTTTGAGATAACTTGCTCATGTTCGTTCCAGGGAACAGTGTTGAACAATACAAGTTAGCAGTTGGACATCGCGAGATCGCCTGTGTACAGAACATGGCTCAGCTACCCCAACCGCCTCTGGCCCTCTATGGTCCCGGCACATATCGCCCTTCTCGTGCGAAAAAGATTGCCGCTCTCTACCTGCGTGTAGTCAAGTATCTTTTACCTTTGGACAACTCGATATCGTCTGCTTTCTTGTGGCATCCCGACCTCCACAGTGAGAATATCTTTGTACACCCTGAACGGCCATCAGAGGTAACGGCGATTATCGATTGGCAGGTCGAGTGAGATCCTGCCACTGTTCGATCATGCCCGTCAGCCGTACTTTCTTGATTATGATGGTCCGTCTGTGACCGGTTTGGATCCGCCCACCTTCCCGGAGAACTTTGATCAACTTGATCCAGCAGAGCAAGCGGCAGCCAAGCGTTTGTACCTGAACATGTCGCTCACTGCGTTGCATCGACGGTTCACGTGTGCGAAGAACGAACGACTATTCCGAGCCATGGAGTTCCGACAGACCCCCAGTTTCGAGATGATGTTGTTGGCTCAGAATATCCTTGTCGACGGAGAGGCGCTTTATCAAGCTAGGATGCTGGAGTTAGAAGAGGAATGGCCAACTCTGCCGGGCGTCCAGGCTGCTGGAAACCCACCGCTCCCGTTCCAGTTTTCCGCAGGCGAGGCTCGTTCAATTGAGGAAGACTGTCGCTGGCGCAGTGAATGCCATGGAGTTAATGCGGAGTTTGAGACAATCGATGGGTGAGTTGTGGCCTGAGAAAGGGGTCGTCGCACCGGGCCAGTATGATCAGGTGAAAACGCTTCTGAACCAAGCCAAGGCCGAGATCGTGGGTCCACTCGCCCTCTCCGAAGAGGACAGAATTGCATGGGAAGAGTCATGGCCGTATCATGGATAAACTACCAAGGGGTACCCGCCCATCAGGCAAAGCCCGTCGATGCTGGGACCCCGGCGTAGATGCCACCACACAGTAGCCACCGCAAACATACCAAGATGGTATGACCCCGGAGAGAAATCTCATACGGCATGTGGCGAGTATATAGCCGTGCAAGGAAAAGCCGTGCCAGAAGAGAAGGCTGACTGTATGGGTTGCCAGTTGGATTCCTTCCTTAGTAGGAGCGAGCTAACCATCAGGCCATTTCGATGAAGCATATTCTCCAGTCTAACGCTAGCTTAGAAGGGTAAAGCCACATGGAAGGTCCTCGGAACAATGCTCAGAACTGCAACGGCGCGATGCAGAGAACGATGCGAAGACAAGGAAACACCGAAATCGCGAGCTGCCAGCCTAATCGAGGGACAAATATCACAGAAAGCAGAAGTAGAACCGCAAGAGAACCAGCTCTTGCACTCGCAGCTGGAAAACCCCCGCATTATCTGGAACGGAACTGACAGGGTATCTCATACATTCATAATCCAACTTCATCCCTCAGGCTCCTTCCTATTTACAGACCTCCCCCCCTGCGACAGTATATACACATCCCCAAAACTACCACTCCACCCGATCATCATGCACCAACTCGACATCCCACCTCTCCTCCCCGCGCCACACCTTCCCCGGCCGATTAAGCGCAGCCACCGCCCCGCGCAGCGTGGTGATGATCCCCGCGGGTCCACTGGCCAACACGCGCGTCGGACCGTCCACCACCCTGTCCAAAAACCGCGTCACCTGGGCCGTGAGATCTGGATGCGTGCTCGCCTGCGCATCCGACGTTTTGGGCAGTGTGTAATGCACCGCGAACCCCGGTTCCGGATCCGGAGTTGGGACTGGCAAGGTTGACCCGCAGCACGGTGTCTTCTCGTCTGTTTCGGTCTCTGTCTCACTGCTGTGCACGGTTTCTGGCACATCCCGCGTAACGAAGATGCGCACGCGGAAGGAATCCGGCGACGTCTGCGCCACGCGGTGCAGGATGTCCAGCTCCGGGGCGATCCATTGTGTGTCCGCTCTGCGGCGGATGATCCAGATGAGTTCGATTTGTTGGTCGGAGGGGAGGGGGGCCGAGAGGCGCTGCAGGATCGGCGGCAGGACGAAGGTGATGCCTGTGCCGCCGGCGATGCAGAGCAGATTGCTGGTGCTGCGGGGGAGGCCGCCTAGACAGGGGTCCTCGATGGACTGCCCGTACGGTCCGCTGAGGAGTACCGGGGTCGTCGGGCCCGGATTTGTCATCGTGCTGGTTTCCCCTGCTGGAGCTGTGGGTTGTAGGCGTGCGGATTCGGCGAGCACGCGCGTCAGCCCTTTCCTCGCGCGGATGAGATAGGTGTGTTGCTGGCCGGTCGGGAGTGTGTCTGGCACGCTGCAGGGGGTGAGCGGGTGTGCTTGCCAGAGGCTTAGCTGCGGAAAGCACAGGAAGAAGTGCTGGCCGATGTGCCAGGGGTCGTGATTGTGGTGGAAGTCCAGCCGGATGATGTCGCCGTCGGCGGGGTTGGCGTGCAGCTGCATCGCCGCGTGGGGGATGGGCAGGCCCCAGCTGGAGGCGGTTGAGGGCACGCCCAGGTGGTGCAAGAGAAAGGTTCGGATGAGCCGCGCCCCCCGGTCCAGCAGCCAGACGACCAGCGAGGCCAGCATCCAGCAGTAGAGGTGCGCCCAGTGCGCCCAGCACGCCCCCACGTACACCATCGCCACGACGTAGTGCGCCTTGCGGAAGAACTCGTACCCCGTGAGTCGAATCACGGTCTTCGTGCTGTGCAGCACCAGAAAGGTCAGCAGGATCATCGCCGCGATCCCCCAGATGATGTAGGGCTGCGCGATGAAGCTGTTCCACTGGCTGGGCTGCGGCTGGTACAGACGGCCCTCCACCACGGTCCAGCCGATGGTGTGCAGGGCCGACTGGGCGTAGATCACGTAGCCCAGCCAGCGGTGCAAGAAGTTGAAGTGGTGGTACGGGATGCCGGTGATGAGAGAGAGCAGGGACTCCCGGCTGGAGAGCAGGATGGAGAGCGGGGTGAGGGCAAACGCCAGCACGCCGACGCGGTCCGCCCAGGGACCCAGCCCGCTGCGGATGTTGGACTGCGTACTGCCGCTGATGGGCGTCGTCCACGTCTTGTAGGTGATGCCCACCAGGGTGAAGACCAGCAGGTAGCCCGAGAGCACGAGGAAGACGAGCACCTGCAGCCGCGTCGTGTGGCCGAATACCCGGGGAAGGGCTTCCGGGAGCAAATGGCGGCGAGTCAGGGCTTGCAGCGTCCTCGAGAGACGGTATAGTGCGCTCTGCGTGTGCGTTGCCCCCGGGGTGGTCTTGGGGGTGGAGGGCACTCGCTCAATGCGGATCAGCCGTCCGCCCATCGCCCACAGGAACAAGATCCCCACGATCACGGCCCACAGGATGAAGCTGTACAGCATGGTGACGTCGTGGCCATGGTAGACGGCGTCCAGATAGGCACAGGTGCCGGCATCCTTGGTGCAGGGGATCTGGCGGGCGACATAGCCCCAATGCTCCTCGAGGGCGGAATCCTGGGAGAAATCCTGAATATGGCCCATGAGATCGACTGGGTACGCAGTACGGAGTACCTGATGGATGAACCGCGGACCCATCTGCAGGGAAATCTGGAGTCTTTTAACCCATCAATCCGCCGTCGAAGTGGAGCCTGCCAAGGCCGAAATCTGCTCACTGCCAAGCATCCTGCGTGATAATCTGCTCATTTCTCGCCTCCATATAAGGCCCGGCCGGTGCCTGTTCAGGGTGAGGTTATCCCACCCATCGTTGACCACCGTGTACTGTGCTGTACGCCCACCTTTATACCACCATGGACATGCACATGTCAAGTTCCTCCAATTCGAGCGCCTGCTCGGTGACGGTATGCCCACCCTATCCCTGATTATGAATTATGGATGCATTAGGAACATAATGACTAATCCGCATAAAGATGCTCTGGAACTGGACCACCATCGATGCCTGTACGGTCCCCTCAGTCGCAACCCCCCCCGCCCCTGCTCCCCCACAACAACCACACCCCTAACCCTAAATCCCCAAATAGGCTTCCTCTCCTCGACCTGGCACATCACCACCGCCGGCCAATTCGCCGTCTCCTGCATCGGCGTGGCCTTCCTGGTCGTCGTCCTCGACGTCCTGCGCCTGCTGAGCAAGCAATACGAGGAGCACCTCCAGCGCCAGTTCCAGCGACAGGTCGCGGCGCAGTCCCCCGCCGAGCGCACGCAGTTCTTCTGCGGCGATACGCTGGCCGACGGGCCGCTGGTGGTCACCTTCCGGGCTAGTCCGGTGCAGCAACTCATCCGCGCGCTGCTGCAGACGCTGCAGTTCGGCCTGGCGTACATCATCATGTTGAACGCCATGTCGTATAACGGGTACATGATCATTTCCATCTTTCTGGGGGCGTTCGTGGGCAAGGTGCTCTGTGATCGCGGCGAGTATCGCGTGGTGCTGCCGGCGAGGGCGAAGCTGGCCGCGGAGGCTGCGCCGGTGGTGCCGGATAAGCCGGAGGAATGGACGACGGGGTGCTGTGGGTAGATGCTGTTGAGAATTGTGTCTCGTCTCGAATTAGATTTGTCAATAATGATGCTGATGATTAATGGTGTCCAGTTGTAAGGGCAGTATAGTCACGCGACTGATAATTGTGCCTGACAGGCTGTTCTGCCTGAATGCCTAAGTAGCTCAAATGCGCTCAATTCCCCGCGCCAAGAGGCTTGGGCAGGTGGAGTGGACATCATATGTTCTATTTATGGAGTATCTGCCACCCAGGGAATAAGGGAAGGAACTAGTATACATCTAATCCTGCTCCTTGGCCAACTCCTCCCGCACGCGAGGCAGGATATACCGGCCGTAGTCCACGGCATCATTGTAGTTGTCATACCCGCGGATGGAGATCAGCTCCGCGCCCAACTTGACATAGTCCAACAGGGAGTCGACAATGGTCTGGTGCGAGCCCACCAGCGCGGTGGAGGCGCCGCGCGCATTCGTGGCCGTGACGGTGGGATACCACAGCGCGCGGTCCTGGACGTCCCCCCGCCGGGCGATCTCCAGCAACCGCTGCGAGCCCGCGTTCTGCGGCGGCGGCGCGTCGGCGGCCACGCGGCCGAAGCCGTTCTGGCGGTGCGAGGTCAACAGATCCAGCGTCCGGTGCGCCTTGGCCCAGGCCAGCTCGTCCGTCTCCGCCGTGATGGGCCGGAAGGTCACCCAGATCCGCGGGCGGTCCGGCTCCGCGCGGCCGGCCTTGTCTGCCTCCGCGTAGATGCGATCGATCTGCTCCTTCGTCTCCTTCAGCGGTTCTCCCCACAGGCCAAAGATATCGGCCAGGCTGCCTCCGATGCGGTAGGCCTCGTCGGACGAGCCGCCCACCGACACCGGAATCGTGCCGTTCACGGGCCGCACCCGGTTGCTGAACCCCTTGAACGTGTAGTAGGGGCTTTCCCAGTCGAAGGGCTCGTCGGACTCCCACGCCCGTCGCAGGATGCGGATGTAATCCTCCAGACGGCCGTAGCGTTGCTCTTTGCTCAAGAAGTCGCCCTCCCGCGCTTGATCGGCGTCGCTGCCGCCAGCGATGAGATGCACCACCGCCCGGCCTCGGCTGAGTTGGTCCAGCGTCGCCAGCGCTTTGGCAGCGACGGTGGGGTACAGGGTGTTGGGCCGCAGAGCAATGATGATCTTGAGGTTCTTGGTTACTGCTGCGATGGTTGCGCCCGTCGTGAAGGGGTCGAAGTACGAGGAGTCGTAGGGGACCAGCGTGTAGTTGAAACCGTAGTCGTCCAGCGATCGGGCGTACCGCACGAGGAAGTCGGGGTCAATTGGGGCATTGGGGATGGGTTTCAGCTCCGTGGAGGGATTGGGGAATGTGAGACTGATGAATTCGGTGGGCATGGTGCTGGTTGATCGTGGGTTTGGTTGGAGTTAGGGCTGCGTGATGGAGGTGTTCTGTCGTCGCCCGCCGGCTGGCTTTATAGCCGCCCTCCGAACATCGGATGCCGGCACTTGCTATGGCACCAACTGCAGCTTGGATGGCGTTGGCCGTGGGTTGATCCGATAGCTCTGGCGTGAGCGTATCATGAGGGTCGATGGTGGGTTCCTGGCTGCATGGCGTCAAACCCCCCGCAATCACGTCATCCATGCTGCGTCGTGCTGACAAACTGGGGTGGGAGGGAGATAAGAGCATTTTAGGTGCAGTGACAGTTGGTCTGGATGGATTACTCAACAGAATAGGACGTGACGATGAAGGAGATGAGGGGTGATGCGTGGTTCATTCAGTGGGGGAAGGAAGGGTTGACTCCGATCTTACCCTACCAGCCCCTGCCGCTGCTTCTACATAATTCACCATAATAATGCACACTCTCGCCCTGCACGCAGCTTACTGAAAGTTCCTTCTACAATTGCTACTACCTTTGATCCGAGTCAAGACCAATTCCATCAACTCACCAACATGCACGTCCGTTCCCACAGCGCCTGATGGGGCCGGAACGGCAGGACCCTCACCCAGGGACTGAGATAGATTCGGAGAGGACCATCGAAAGCCTGAAGCAGCTTTGCGACCGTGGGTCGTGGCAGCTACTAGTGAACGAGGATGAGGCTGACAGAGAATCTTCGTGTGCTATGTAGTACAATAGAATCTTTTGGTTCAGGCAGCACCAATGCTTTCATGCTATTACACCCGCTCTTCCACCTCCGCCTTCCTCAGCAACTCCTCCACAGTAGTGAAATGCATACCGGCAAAGAACTTCTCTCGTTGCCGCAGGGTCTTCTCCTTCGGACAGGCAGTAGCACCGCTGATTGTCCATTCCTCTGCCTCAGCAATTGCCAGCTCCAGACTCTCCGGCTGGTCCTCGTACTGCTGGATCGTGGTTTCGATGTCCTCCTTCGATCGGTAGTCTCGTTCGAAGGGTCGACCTGTCGTATATTAGCCACACCTCTTCCTACTCCTAATTTGCCGCAAAGAGAACTGCCATGGAATATATACTCAGGCAGAGATCGAAGTAGAGAGAGGGTGACGTACCATAAAATCTCTCCAACAGCGAAGCCATCTGATTGAACGTCCCCCACTCCCCGACCACATACGTGACCGGCTCCTAGATGAGGACAACGTCAGCCCTAACCCTCATCCCTCACGCTCCTCCATCAACCACCCTTCACACTAGTAATAACCCTCCACAACAACTAACAAAGATGGAGAGAAAAGAGAAAGAAAGCAACTCACCCAACTCCCCCTCTCAGCGACCAGCAACCTCCCCACTGCGCACGCTATGTCACGCGCACACGTCCAGCTCTGCGCCTCCTCTCCCGTCCCGCGGACGGTATACCTCCACGCGACGAGATCGATCGGAAACTCCCCGGGCATGCACCTTCGGTGGGACTGGTGGGCGGGGAGGAAGTATTCCATGCACCAGCCGTGATTCAACAGTGTATACTCTATTTTCTGCACGGGGTGGGATAGGGCATCAGATGTCTGGGAGCCTGCCTGCTCGGCAAGAATCGCCCGGAACGGAAGGCGAGTCCGGCCATATGCTCGTGGGAGGGTGGGGAAGGACTCGATGTCCCCGGCCCATTCGGAGGGGATGAAGCGGGTGCAGGTTTCGGTGAGCTGGCAGGCTTTGAGCAGGGTGGTGTGGAGGGGGAGGTAGTCCTCGTCTGGGCAGCGGAGGAGGGAGATTAGGGCTGTGGTGTGCGTGGTGCGGAGGATGTGTAGGAGGGAAGGGAGAGTGTAGTCTGTTGTTTTGGTGGTTACTCTGTTGGAGATAAGGGTGGGAGGGTGGGTCTTTGTTGTTAGTCTTCTGGTTGATTGAGGGTTGATCAATGGATGGTGGTGGGGAGATTTTGGAAGGGTCCAATGGCGTAGAGGGGAGTGGGAGTGGAAGCCCTACCTGCCGCGTGAGGATCACGACGCTGTAGCGCGGATCCTTGATGAGCTCTTCCTGGAGGTAGTGGCCCAGGTCGCCTCTGCCGCCGGCTAGGGCTATCACCTGGGGCTCGTTCATTGCCGTAGGCATAAAATCTACTGAGAAGGGATATGTTGGGCTGGGATGATGGATGGTAGATCTGGTGGGATTTAGGATGAAATGGAAACAGGCCAGCTGAACATATTTAAACTCGAGCTGCCGGCTGACATGTGCCCAGGCAGATTGAGAATCGATCTGGAACGTATGAACACCTGCGAACACGTCAACATCTACATGTGGTGCATGTTTGCTAACCCTACAGTAGCATAGGTACTGGTATGCAGCCACGTGCCCAATGCCGAGCCCTCGGCGACTGCATACTCCAGTCCATTCCTCTCGGCCAACCATCTCTGACAACCATCTCACGTTACGTTTTATCACCCACTAGGTATCCATTTCAAGCATCGTTACCTCAATCTATGGCGAGAAAGGTGGCCCCGCCCATCACCAAACACAACACAGCTGCCACAATTGAACCAGTGTCAGTTTGTACTCAAACCAGCCCAGGCAGCCCAGAGGCCCGAAAACATACCTAGAACCAAGTTCATCTGGTAATACCCCATCTTCTCCGTCAAGGTCCCCGAGACCAGCGGCCCCACAAACATCCCCAGCTTCCAGCTGATATTGGACATGGAGAACGACCGCGAGTACCCGCCGTGCGGCCCGAAGATGCCCGGGTATTCATGCGAAAGCTCGTTGGCGCCGTCTACACACGTCCAGGATTAGCCCGGGGTTCAGCTCAGTGGGACCAACAACCCCCGGAAACTTACGCAACACCTCGACAGCCCCGAACCCCAATAACAGAGCCCGCCAGACTCCGATCGCCAGTAGCGTGGCGATGTAGATCACCCGATTAGTGTTCTCGTCGTCCGTCCACCAAACGTCCTGCGTGTGGCCCGGAACCCCGAGCAACCACAGCGATGGCGCGAGACACAGGAACCCGATCGTCACGGGGTACCGCATCCCAATCCGGTCCTTCAGCCATCCGGCCGGGATGACGAGGATCATCGATGGGGCCTGTAGAAGCAGGAACAGTAGTCCCGCTTGGAGAGACTCCCAGTGGAAGACGGCTTTGATGTGGATCGGGATCGTGGTCTCGAAGCTGGCGATGATGATCGCGAAGAGGGTGTCTGCTATTAGTGCTGTGGCTACCCTTTTCTTGCGGAGCATGAGGGTGTAGACGTTTTGGATGGGGAGGGAGCTGGGTTCTTCGATAGTTTGGTAAGCCGTGCTCTCGGAGTGGGATGCAGAGGAGAGTAACGGGTTTCGGATCTGCGATTCTTCTGGAGAGGAGTCCTCAGTGTGCATCTCGTAGTTGAAGGGCCCAATAATGAGAAGCTGTAGGACAGTCCCCACGAGGATCACGGCAAATGCACTCGCCCAGGTCATCGAGTAGGACACGAACTGGTAGAGAGACCCCGACACAGCCGGGCCACTGAGTAGCCCCGCGGACACGAACAGCATGGCCAAGCCCAGGGCTTTGGCTAGGTGTTTGGCCCCCACTTTATCCCCCAGAATGGCCATGCCGACGATCCAGATCACTGACCCGGCCAGGGTCTGGATGAGTCGGCCGATAAAGAGGACGGCTACTGTCGTGCTCCATGCTGTGATGGCTGTACCGACTGCGTTGGTCACCCATGAGATCACCATCCACTGGTTCTTCGACTTGGAGCCGTCCGCTAAATGGCCGGTGAACGGGGCGATCAGAATCGACACCAGTGCGTTCAAGGACAGAAGGATGGAAGTAAGAAGCTGCGTGTGCGACGGGGGTTGTTGAAGTCTGTCTTGCAGGATGTCGGGTAGGATGGGGATGATGAAGCTGAAAAGGAAGGTGTCTGTTGATTTGATTAGAGGGCGCGAGGAGAGATGAATGGCTGCTTACCAGCGAACATGGCGAGAGAGATAACTGCCACGATGAACAGGCGTGAGGATCGCCACCCGTAGCCGATGGGCTTCGCGGGGATGATCTTCGAGGTCATGGCGACAGTCAATCAGGTCTATGATCGAGGGGCATTGAGTCTCTAGTCTAATCGTGTGAGGAAAGATCCGAGCGACTACGAGTAGTTAAATCCACGACACTCTCGAATATCATTCTAGCACCTTCCGACAGTCAGCTCAGCTACGACACCAGCAAGAACCCTCATTCTCCCACTAGTATACGAATCCGTACGCCCAAATCACTCATTCATCTAATCGACCGGCCTATGGCGATGCAGAATCGATGGCTCCTATTGCGAAAGACGATTGATTGGCCTCCGCCAGACAAAGAAAAAGCACAGACGGCCCTCGTGTCACGCCAAAGCAAGGCCCAAGAATGCACCCTCACTGCGCCATCAGCCCCAGCTCCGCGGCGGCAATCTGCAGTGCAACGAAGCGGGAATAAATGCGACACAGCGATAGGCTTCCGCCCATGAGCCACAGATGGGGATGTCCGCTCGGTCTCCAGATCTATTCGGGGATTCGGTCAGTCCGGGAATTTCTGGTCTGCGAGGTGATGTAAGGAGGGACGTGGGTGATGCTGCTGCTGCTGCTGCTGCTGCTGCTGTACGCACCGTCTGTATCTCCCCCTCCTCGTCCAGATCCCATACGTCCTTGCATTGGTCGGCCACATTCGGCCCTAGCGTGTGGCGTACCGAGTCGCGCATGTTGGCGTACCCCGTCGCCAGCACCACAATGTCTGCAGCCAGATAAGTGCTGTCGGCGAGGTGCAGACCCCCTTGGCCGAAAGAGGCAATACCGCCCGCACACGAATGCAGCTGGATCTTGCGGTCGATCAGCAGCTGGCTGCAGCCGAAGTCGATGTAGTATCCCCCGCCGCGGGAGACCAGCGAGCGTAACAGTCCGGCGCCGTCGAGGCCAAAATCTAGTTGGAAATCAATGGACCGGAGACCCTCGAGAACGGCAGAATCAGCGGCGGAGATGCGCTTGGTGAGGTCGACGCAGAGGGCGAGGGTGACGGGCCAGGGCAGGCTTTCTGAGAGGATATCTTGCGTGTCGAGGGGAGGGCTGCGTGGCTGTTAGGGCTGCGGGTAGGAGAATGAAAGGGGGCGTGAGGGGGCAACCTTACCGATTGTCATCGTCGATGCCATGGTTCTCTGGGATTAAAGGCAATCCGTGTTCCTCGGTGAGGACATACGTCGGACCCCGCTGGAGCATCGTCACGACTGCTCCCTGTTGGTAGAAGTCCTGCGCAATGTCGTGGCCACTATTCCCGGTCCCCACTACCACCACCTTCTTGCCTTGCGGGGCCAATTCTCTGGCGTCGACATGCTGACTCGCATGGTAGATCGTCCCTTTGAACTCCTCCTGCCCTAGGAAGCTGGGAATCTTGGGTAAGCCCAGATGTCCTGCGCACCATGCGATGTGTCGAGGGCGTAGAATACGCTCGACTCCGTCCCGCACGAGGCCGACGGTCCAGTTCCCCGCAGCCTCATCATACTCAGCCGACTTGACTGCAGTCTGTGTCCACATGTTCAGCTCCATGATCGTGGAGTAGGATTCCAGCCAGTCGGCCAGCTTATCTTTGGGAAGATACTTGGGCCAGGTCTTGGGGAAGGGCAAGTGAGCGAGATGGCATGTTTCGATGTGGTCGTGGGTGATGAGGGTCTGCAGTCGTATTAGCCCGTTCCAGTCCATTGCATCTGGAGAAGAGAGGATGTCCAAACCCGATATCGCTTTCTCCAGTTATCTCCCACGCGCTCGTTCTTCTCCACGACGAGACACGATTGACCGAGGGTCTGCAGACGAACCGCTAGATTGAGTCCTGCCTGGCCTGAAAGGAAGCGTTCAGCATGTGATTCACATCAAGAGCTCAAAGCATTCTGACCTGCACCTACGACCAACACCGTGGGATCAGTGTCTACAAACTCCTTGTCGCGCTCCCTTCTCTCCAACCAGTTCCCCTGCGCAACTCCACCCGGCATCGACTCGATCGTGCCGTGTGGCCGTCGCAGCCCTACCTTCTCTTCCGCTCCGTGCAGCTCCTGCAACGCAGTATACACGGAGTAGGCTTTCCACCCTCCCTCCTCGGTCGGAGTCAGGTAAAACACCCCGCGTCCGTGACCGAAGCGGGTCTCGAAGCCAAACATCGCCGTTATCCAAGTTAGTCCGGGAGACGGGGTGTCAATGGCAGGTTTTATTTCTTCCTCATCGTGAAGACGCGTATTCTGCAAGTGCACACGGGGAAGGTGCTGCGCGAGGTAGCTTTGGATGTTGGGATAGCCTCGGATGGTGTGGAAATCCCAGTCCAGGGCGAGCATGTCGCGCCACCAGCTGTCTTCATGGAAGAGGCTGGAAAGAGGGATGGAGGGACTGCCGGTCAGGTGGGTGTTTAGTTTGGCGAGCCATTCTTGGGCGATGGTGGTTGGGTCGATGCTGGAGGGATTTATTTTGGGGGTGGTGGGGAGTTGGATGATGTGGTGGTAGGGGGGTGTCATTTTGACTTGGTCGCGTGAAGTGAATCCTGTGGGTTGATATCTCGAGTTGTTTACATAGCGGTATAGAGGTACAATCGACAGTCGGTACAGGTGCATTCCATCAAATATCTCCCGATGTCTAGACTTGTTCCTACCCGCTACATCTGCCCCTGAACCCTTACATGACTCCAACCTTGTTTGAGCTTCACATCGCATGTGTTGCTACACTGGGTCGGTCCTGCAGTCTGCCGTGAAAATGTCAATTGCCTTGTCTATCTGCTGCACCACGATTCTGAAGAATTGCATTCTGTAGGAGATGTTTGTTGGCGGCAGGCATCCACAATGAGCCATCCCTGCATGGGGTTTCGAATTGGCGCGCCAGAGCCAGTCGATAAGGCGCCATGCATCTAGCATCATCTTATGCTGCAGGCAGGATCCAGGGGATCCTGGTCCGGAACACGTCAATGCAATAGCCTTTGAAAAGTGTCTGATAACTGAAGTTTAATAAACAATCGTTGAGTTGATGGCGTGCTGCACTTGTCCCACTGCTGTATTCACCCCTTTACTAAACGCGTTGGAGACACCCCTCGATCCGTCATATCTTTACCACCCACTCCGACATAATTCCGTCAAAAAAAGGGTCAGACCACGGTGACCACATTGACTTCAAAGATCGAATATCCAAAATGCCAACCCCACCAAACTACAGCCTCGCCGCCCCGGCCAGGCGCCCGGAGATCCTCGCCCTGGCGCAGGACCTCAACGGCACTCCGTCGGGGGAAGAGTACGAGAAGATGATCTCGGGGATGATGTATGCCCTCCTCCTTGCCTACCCTCTACCCAGTCAAATAAAAGCTAACAGCAGTGAAAAAGGTACGACCCCACCGTCCCCGCCCTCCTGGAAGCCCGCCATCTCGCCCGCGGCCTGACCGCCGCCTACAACAACCTCGACACCACGACCGTGCCCTTTGACGAGGTCGGAGAAGTGAGGCTAGACCTGCTACGCAAGTTGGTCGGCAAAGCAGGGGACAAGACCTTCGTCGAGCCGCCCTTCCGCCCGGATTACGGGTGCAATATCTCCTTTGGGAGGGAGGTGTTTGTGAATTTTGGGTAGGTTGATGCTCTTTACTCTATTCTACCGTGGGTAAATTTGTCTTGTATGGAAATGAGGAGTGGATATCCCGCGAATGAAGACGGCTTCAAAGACTGATACCCACAGACTCACCGTCCTCGACACCAGCCTGGTCGTCATCGGGGACCGCGTCCAGATCGCCTCGAATGTCAGCATCATCGCCGCCAGCCACGACCCCAGCGTTCTCTCCCGACGGAGAGGGGTCGAGTTCGGTCATCCGGTTTTTATTGGGGATGATTGCTGGATTGGCGCGAACACAGTCATTCTTCCGGGTGTCACGATCGGGCAGGGCTCCACGATCGGAGCCGGGTCTGTAGTGACGAGGGACGTCTCTCCTTATTCGGTCGCGTTTGGAAGTCCTTGTCGGGTGAGGAGGGTGTTGGTCACGGCCGAGGAGGAGGAGATGGATGAGGAGAATCCTTACAGGGGGGTGTTTGTATAGAAAGAGGGGACATGCTGAGGTGGAATGTAGACAGTGAATGAACTCGAGAATTATTTGACAATCTACTACACAGGCAATGATAACTAAATAGAAGACACGTTCGAAACATCGCCCCTCAGCCAGTGGGGACTGTATCGGACCACCAGCGACGTAGGCGAGGGACATTCCAGCAGCTGCGGAGCATCAGCTAGGGCTCTACACAGATTCTCCGTCCCGAATTCGGGCATCCACTGCTGCATCTCCCAAATACTGCGCCCTTCCCAGACCTTCTCCTCCAACAACGGCAGTAGGGATTGAAGCGGACTTTCGCGGGTCTGCGACAGGATCCCGACCCATTCGGAACAAGGAACAGCACGCAGGGGCGTCTTCCCGCGTACCTGGTTTAGCAGAGTGAAGATTGTCGAGAGCTCTACGCTCGAACCGGTCGTCGGATGGACAACATTATACGCCTGGCGGGCATGCTCCGAGCTAGAGGCAATGTGCAACAGCGTCGACACCACCCAGTCGACCGGGACAATATCCTCGCGATGACCTGGAAGCAGCGGATAACAGCCGCATTGCAGGCTGGCAGCAATGACCCGCGTCAGGAAGTCGTCGGGGTTCATCGTGCCCGTCTCACTGTGTCCCAGCACGAAACCGAGCCGGTAGATGGTGATGGGTAGGCCTTGGGAGATCGCATTCCAGGCGATGGTCTCCGCCACCATCTGACTCTGGGCGTAACCCATGGCGAACGGGAGAGCTGACATGTGCGAGGCGGGCTGCTCCTCTTCCGCCAGATGCGTGTGGCCGTTCACCACGCCCGTGGGTCCGTACGCGCTGATACTCGACGTGTAGTGCAGCGCCTTGGTGCGGCCGCTGTTCGCAAACCGGATCATATGCAGCGTGCCCAGCACGTTTGCCGCACGGTGGCTTGAGTACGGTTGCACGAAGTTGACGTGCGCCCCGAGATGAAACACCACGCTCGCCCAGTGCGAGAGCCACGAATATTGCTGCGGGGTCAATCCCAGATCCTCCTGGGAGATATCCCCAGCCATCGCGATAATCCGTGCTTCTTGAGCAGGTGTTAGCATGAGGCTATATTTCAACAGGGACTTCCGGATGCGGCGGTGGGCGTGCTGGGCGTCGGTGGCGCGCACCAGACACACCACCGTTTCCACCTCGGGGAGTGCGAGAAGTCCAGCCAGAACGAAAGCTCCTACGAACCCTGTGGCGCCGGTCAGGAATACGACGCCCTCGGAAGGATTGCGCCAGTCGGGAATTGAGCGTGACAGGGGTCGAAGCTCAAGTCTCAGGCGGCAGTCGCGTTGCCATTCTTCCTGCGCGGAGGTTTTGCGCTCCGTTAGGGCTGGCGTGTCGCTGGCTCGAAGCAATGAACACAACGCCCGGAAAGAAGAATGCTCGAACAACACTGAGATGCGGATTTCGCGACCAAAGATCTGTCGGAGATGAGAAACAAGAAGTGCCGCGTGAAGCGAAGTCCCGCCGAGAATGAAGAAATCATCCTCGTCATGGAAAGCGGCGTTGGGAAGGCCCAGTAGCTCCTGCCATAGAGCTCGTAGTTTGACCTCCACATTTTCGGTGCCATTGACTTCACTTTCTCTCAATGATATCCGTGCGAGACTCTGCAGGTAGTGGCTGGCCAAGGCTTTGCGATCGACCTTCCCACTCCCGGTGAGAGCAATCCTCTCGACCACCTGGATCCGAGGCACCATCAGATGCGGCGCCTGTTCGATGTATAGCTGACGAATGGCGTTGGCAGTAATCTTCGGAGAAAAGGGGATCACGCAGACGAGCAAGGCGGATCCTCCATCCAGCTCATCTAGTGTGATCCTCAGCGCCACGGCGCGCACCACGAGCTGCGTTGACAACAGAGCCTTTTCGATGGCACCAAGATCGACTCGTTGCCCGCGAATCTTCACTTCGTTGTCGCGACGGCCAAGATAGACGATATCCCCGGATTCATTCCGTCGCACAAGGTCGCCTGTTCGGTAGAATAATCCCGGGGCTATTTGGCAGTTCTCATGGAGGTGAGGAGCAGCCACAAACACCCTTGCTGTCTTCTCGGGCTGTCCGAAATACCCCCCTGCGACACCAGTGCCACCCACTAGCAACTCTCCCACGCTGCCTTGAGTCACAGGGTGGAGATTCTCGTCGACTACAAAGGCGTCGTACCCGCTGAGGGATCTCCCAATCGGAATCTCCCCACGCTCGATGTCTTGGGGAGTTACCAGGTGGTAGGTCGTGAAGACTGACAGCTCCGTCGGCCCGTAGACGTTGAATAGCTTGCGGGGCGGACCGTTGGCGAAGATGGTTCGGATGGTGGGGACATGGATAGCCTCTCCACCTGTCAACAGGCTATCTACATGGGAGTAGGCATGAGGACAGGTATGGGCAATAGTGGCGAGCAGGGAAGTGGTCTGCCACATCACATCGATGTGGTCGACTTGGAGTCGCCGTTCAAAGATGATGGGATCCAGGAACTCCTCTCGTTGGAAGACAACCACTGTCCCTCCGTGCAAAAGCGCAGACCATATCTCCCACAGCGATACATCGAATCCCACATTGCAGACGTGAGCCACGCGGTGACCACGACGAATTGGGGCGAATTCGTTGAAGACGAGGTTGATTAGTCCGGCTGCGAGCACTCGCACGGCCTTGGGCTGGCCGGTAGACCCGGAGGTGTGGAGAATATGTGAGCAACAGGAGGGAGAATTGTCCGACACCACGAAGTGATCAACCTCTTCTCGCTCAACAGGCTCCCAGTTGACAACCAGGTGTTGCAGGTTCGGTAGTCGATGTGAGTTGGAGTTGTCCGATAATATTAGAGAGGTCCCCAGATGAAGCAAGAGTCGTTCGAGATGGTCATCCGGAAGGTCAATGTCCAAAGGAACACAGGCTGCGCCGGCATGCACCACCGCCACCTGGGCCAGGATATGGTTTATCCCTCTCGGTATTAGAATTCCAATGGGTTGCTCTTTTGTGACCCCGAGCCTCCCGAGCTCAAGCACAATACTCAGCGCCTTTTCGTGCAGTTGTCGAAAGGTCATGCGATGTTCCCCATGCTCGAGAGCAATATCATCTGCATATAGCTGCACCTTTTGCGCCAGCAGCTGGGCCAGACCCAGGTCAGGCCTGCTTTCGTTCAACATGTTGGAGAATTGCTGCACTATACAATACACAATGAAAAGAGCTCAGAGGGATCAATCAGACAAGGACAAGAGAAACCACGACGAGGACAGAGATGAGTCCTCTCTGTCACTTCAACATGCTTGGGCGCTCACGATCATGCTTGCGGAGGACATAGCTCGCTAAGCGCCAGGAGTGCTCAATTTCACTGATAACCGATCTACAACTCTTTCATCTCACAATGCAGCTCACTCTGGACGCCGTGAACCTGCCATAGCCTTCCGAGGGCTAGATATGCTCGGTACAGTTCCATCCCGGGTCCACAATTGCGGCGCTGACTGGGCGTGCAGACAATGAGATTGATCGGTGACGAATTTCGTAGCGATGTCACCTTGGGTGGAGCTGCAGTCGAACACAGTGCACTGATTGGCTGATAGCCAGCGATTTCTCACTGATCAACCAGGTCGTGAAGATTCTATATTTAGGGACCGACTGTCATTCCCGTCGATTGCGGGTTCAAAGCACCAACAAACAGCAATAATCCACGTACTCGTCCGAACTGCGCTGTTCGCCCTTTCTCAAGACCAAGATGCAGAACTCTCAGATCAATTTACTTGACTACCTGCGTGCGAGAACACAGGTAGATCTGGATACGTTCGATGTGACTGGTATGGGCCTCCCCATGATGCTGTGATAGAGAACGGTGGTTGAACTTTATGTAGTGGCAAAAGAGGTTGAGCGATGCATTGATTGCACATCAAATCAGGTATTACTCGGTGCCACAGCTAGATTTCCCTATCATGCTGAAGATGGAAACAAAGTATGAATACTATACGGAGCTCGCCAAGGAAGGTAGACGGGCCGTTCTCGACAAAGCGATCGAGCTCGCTTCTAGTCTCCATCAGCAATATCCCAATGTTACGCGGGAAGAATTGACAATCGAGATTGGGGTAGGTCTAACAATGGTCAATGATGCTACACGCTGATGCAAGGTCCAGGCTATTCTTCTGGCAATCGATGTTCGACCATTTGTGACGGGAAACCTCCACATCTTGCTCAACCCCAACTACGCCTACTACCAGCGCAAGACCGTGGAAGCCGCAAAAAGTGAGTTTTGTATCGACTACTCAGACCGCCGCTGACTATGTTTGACGGACAGGACTGCATCGTCTGTTCTATGAGATTGATCCTGACTTCGATCCCTCCCGTCTTGTGCTGAAGGTTGCGGCCACCTGGGAGGGGCTCCAGGCGTGCCGGGAGCTGCGGTACTCACGTATCCAGACCTTGGCGACTACTCTGTTCACAATGGAGCAGGCTGTTCTGGCCGGGGAAGCCGGATGCGTCTCCATCTCGCCCTTTGTGCATGAGCTCAAAGCTATCTTCGAGCCCAGCTACAAGGGCTCAGATCCGCTGTTGCCATTGTGCGTTCAGGCCCAGCAGTGGTATCGGCAAGAGTCGTTGCCGACCAAGGTCAAGGCATGTGCGACAATCGGGTTGGACGAGATCTTGCAGCTGGCCGGTGTGGCAGCGTTCACCCTGGTCCCAGATGACCTAAAGTTGCTGCAGTCTAGCCACAAGGGCGTGGACGAGGTGCAAAGCTTGTCATTGTTCCAGGATAAGGGTGTCATGCAAGATAAGCTTGCCTACCCGTCTTACATCAATGATGAAGCCGGGTATCGCTTGGCTTTTGCGAGAGTCGAAGAAGGCCGTGCTCAGCTGAAGCTTGGGCAGGTAGGTATCTCTGGAACGTGTATGAAACTCATGAGATTGCTTACTGATCTCTCTTCCAGGCGATAAATATCTTCTGTGATTTCCAAACTAAGGCCGAGCAGCTGGTTCGGGATGCGATGCGTTCATGAGCATTGCATGGGGGTATTCTTAGGACGGCACTTGGAATACGTTAATGTTGTTGAAGGGTCTCGAGTCGAGCTATTCGCGGAATGTAATGAGTATGCTACTTTTCTCCAGATTACATGATTATCAGTAGACTCGTAGTTTTGCCACGTTCCCCGTCAATGATGCTTTTGATCGGGTCATCGTGAATGTCATTATGTGACTGAGCCGTGACTGTGACTGTGATCTGGTTGCATCAGTCACCATGTGGGGTTGTGCGAGGTTGCACAACGCCGTGTCTGAGTATGGCCACTGTTCGAGCGTGAGCACATCACGAAGATTGTGTGACGTGAGACAAGGTCTCACTTCTCCAAAGAACATAACCCGTGCTGAATTCTACCCTGATCTAGCACGGCAGCTGAAGTCTTACTCTGGGAGTCGTACGGAACGGATCGCCGCAGTGTCCGATAAATAGATGCATCTAGTACCACGATATACAGATGAACCAGTTCCCAGCGGCGAGACGCTGTCTTACGGCGGAGTATACAGCTCAGGCTTGATTTCGTGATGAAGCTCCAGCAAGTCTTAGCCCCTGGGCTGGCGGCGCTGCCAGTACCCGAATTACTGGGTGGGAATGTGAACTATCTATTTACTTTGTATGTCATCCCTCCCTTGTAAAGGATCGTAGCAGTAGCCCTAAGTGGGCCGGGACTGATTTGAGCGACGAGAACAGTGGCGATTCGTACACCACCACCGGTTTCAATGTGTCGGCTGGGCAGCCGGCCGTGGGAAATCCAATGGGAAATCCTGAGTTAGGTGTGTTTCCTTGTTTGTTTAGGGCTACGTTCTCTATGCGATGGATAACCCCCCTGGGTCCAGTCCACTGATCTGACACGGGAGAAGGCCAAGGCACCGCCTCTGACGGAATCAACTGGGTCGGGTATCTGACCACCCTATTCAACCATACCCTAACCTTCAGCTATAACCTCGCGGTGTATGGGGCTACGATTGATAATGAGGTAGTTTCGAATGTGCCGGGGGACGTGGTGAGTCAGATTCGGGGGATGTTTGGGAAGCATTATTGTCGAGGGGCGGCAGACACGACACCCGAGACCACTTCATTGTCGGCCACAGCGGATGCTTGGACGGAGATTGCAGATGCAGCGCTGTTTGTGATTTGGGTGGGGATCAATGAGTTCGTTCCCTTACTACCTCTTTCTTTTTTGTTTCTTGGTTGTGCGCCCAGCTTGTCTGATAATACAAGATATATGTTTGGTTGGGGATGTTTGCCGGTCCGATTCCCAATCCGCCTGCCCTGCCCTACCTTACACCCCCCCTTCCCTTGCAGACTTCACTCGAGCAAGCCCGTCAATGCACAAACTTACGCAACTATGAATCTAATTCGGTGGATGGCAGTGTACAATTCAGCTATCTCGCTCTCCACCCCCTCCTGCAACTCACCGCCGCGCTGGACACGTACTTTCAGCTGTTGACCGAACTTTACGACTGCGGCGCCCGCCGGTTTCTGGTCATGAATGTGCCCCCCACCACCCGCACGCCAAACATGCTGACTCACGGTCCGATACGACGCGCTCGCCATCTGACTACGGTCCACATCTTCAACCTGTTATTGGAGCGGATGGTGAAGCGCTGGGCCAGGGGATTTCCGGATGTAAGTTACCTCTTCGCGTTCCCGTTGGATTGGGAAGTTGTTGTTTGGGAGGAGAGGGATACGACAGGGGGTTATTGACGTACGCATTGCTAATCGGTTATGGTTGTTGTGCTACGGTGACGGCAGGCGACGGTGATGCTCTTCGACGTGTTTGCTTTTATGGCTGCGGTCCTGGATGACCCTCAGCGGTATGGGTTCCGGGATGGAACGTGTGTGGGTGAGGAGGGGTGTGTGTGGTGGGATGACTTTCATCCGAGGTCGGAGTTTCATTTTGTTCTGGCGAGGCAGCTAGAGGGGTTGCTTGGAGGTGGTTTGGATTGAGGCCGTTGAGTGTGTAGGTGATAGGAGAGGAGAGTAGCGATTGAGACTGGGTCATGCTACATGTCTGCACTGTCATACTATGAGACTCACAGCAGTGGTGTTGGATTGCCCAAGTGCAAGTGTAAAGTCAAGAATTGTGTGCGGGTTGCTGCTGTAGTGAAGGAGGTGATATCTATGAGTACTACCTGTACGGTACCTCGAGTCGACAATCCTCAACACAACCCATACAGCTGAACGTAATACATTCAACATGGCTGACACTGTCAATGTTCTGAAGTACCTCCGTTCAAGAACCCAGCTTGACCTGGATAGTCTGGATCTTGAAAGTATGCTTACTCTCTAATTCTGAGCTACTGGTGCTAACGCACCCCAGCTGCCCGTAGCGGAGGTCCCGATGGACCGTGGACGGATGCCACCTCCAACCCAGTGTGTACCTCCTCTGACACCAGTGAATGGCAGGCTAAACAGTGGGCGTGTAGGCAGAATCATACTTCCAGCTCCAGAAGGAGGAGAACAAGGAAATCGTCGTGCAGGCGATCCGCATCGCCCAAGATCTCCATGAGAGGTACCCAGGCGTGACGCTCGCTGAGCTTCGGGTTGAGATCGCTGTACGGTTCCATTTCTCTGCGGTGCTTCCAATCAGAAGACTTACCAGATCATGATATAGACCGTTTTGCTAGCCAACCGAGTTCTGCCCTACATCACCGGCTCTGTCCATGTCATGGTCAACCCATGTCATGCCTTCTCCACCACGAGAGTGATCCAGACGTGTCTGCGTAAGTGCCGCCGCCTTTCACACGCTCTGCGAATCTACATTGACAGCGCTTGAAAGGATACCATGAGATCTTCCACCACATCGATCCGCACTTTGACCCCTCGCGCCTCGTCATCAAAGTCTCTGCGACCTTTGAGGGGCTGAAGGCCTGCCATGCGCTGCGGGCCAAGGGCATCCAAACCCTCGCCACTACCGTCTTCACGATGGAGCAGGCAATCCTCGCCGGCGAGGCGGGGTGTGTGTCGATCTCGCCGTTTGTGCACGAGCTGAAGGCTGGGTTTGATGATACGTTCGTTCTCTCCAATCCCTTTATGTTACACTTGCTGCGTTCTTTGTCGATGGTTTCATCACGTATGAGTGACCTTGGGGGATGAGCTAACCACGCAAGAGCAGATACAAAGATCAAGACCCTCTCCTCGACCTCTGCGTCCAGGCCCAGGAGTACTACGTCCAGCACGGGATCTCCACCCGTGTCAAGGCTTGCAGCTGCATGTCCGTTGACGAGATCCTGCAGTTGGCTGGGGTGGCGGCCCATACGATCCCGCCGGAAGATCTGGAGAGGTTGGCCGGCATGAACGAGGCGGTTGACTCGCTGGAGAAGAAGTCCTTGTTTCGGGCGGATGCCTCTGTGGCAATGCAGCAGCAGCAGGCTCGCAGCTATGTCGATGACGAGGCGGGGTATCGCGTGCATTTTGCGGCGAGTGACGGGGGACGAGGCCAGAGTCGGTTGTTCCAGGTTCGTTTGCTGTGTGTCGGTGGATGAGCTTGGTGGTTGACTAATGGTACTCTCCAGGCTATCGCGATCTTCGCGGACTTTCAGCATAAGGTGGAGATGGTTATGGGAGGGCAGTAGACGGTTGGTTGGTGGTGGTGGTGGTGGTGGTTGGGCTAGAGTCAATGGGGCACTCTCGCGGGACTGAAACGTTCTTGGAACTTGTTGAATTAGGGCTATCTCTGGCACAACCAAACATCTAGTGAATAACCTTACTAGATGAAACTGTGCCTCTACAACATATACTCTGACTCTACAACACATGATCCGTAAAGTCCACCACGATAACCTGATTAACCAGAGGATGTAGCTCGCTTCCCAGTCCCAAGTGCACCGGATCGCTCGAGACGTAGTAGTTCCGATCTTCTGGCGACTCAAACTCGGCTACGAAGCCGTGGGTAATCCCATGCTGGGCCAGTGTTATCATCTGAGCACCTGACAGCCTCGGACCTAGAGCACTCACTTGCATCCCCTCCGGTGAATGATCCTTGCCACCCCTGAAGGAGACGATGTAGGGCTGCCCGGTCGCGGGGTGGATGCATCGATGCTTTAGGGCGAGAACGTCCTTGCAGGCCTAGACCAGCAGCAAAATTAGGGAATGTTTGAACCCTGCAGGTAGTTATCCTTCCAATGCAGGTGGAAACCCACCTGATTGACCATTTCTGGAGACAGGCCGGACTTGAATTGAAAGAGAACGATGTGGGTGACGACCATGATTGCTGGCTTGGGCAGACCGACTCTCACGTAATTAAATTTTGAGCTGCTGCAGTCTATCACCTTGCATGTCCGAGCCGGCGCGTAAACTTATAACTCCTACCCCCTGGTCAATTGCGCTTGTCAATCCGCCTGGCCACGTCAATCCCACGGATCAACGGGTAAGCAAACATCTCCACCACCGTGACGGACATATTTAAAAGCCAGTTGCATCCACGACAACTCCAGCCTACCCCTAATCGACATCAACAACCTGCACCTCCCCAGCAAACACCCTATCAATTAACAACCAACCAACCAGAGATCTCATCCAACATTACCACACAGCCCATTGACAAGCAAAGATGCCACAGTGGCAAACACAGCACACCTCCACCCCTCTCCCCACCCCCTGCGGGCTTTCCTCCTCTTTCTCGCTACGCGCCCCTCCCGCCACTGACCTGTGGGCCTCGCCCCCAGACACCTGCATCTTCACCGCCCCGTTCATCTACCAGGCAATGCCCCTGGCCTCCTTCCGACGGGCCCGCGTCACCATCTCCGCGGAGCTAGCCGACCAGCCCTACGCCCAGGCCGGCCTGGCTCTGCTGCTCCCGCAGTCCGACGGCGGCCAACGCAGATGGGTGAAGACCGGTGTCGAGGTTCTGGGGGGTAGGCGGGTTCTGGCGACGGTGGGGCGGGATCGGTGGCCGGATTGTAGTCTCGTGGCTGCGGATCCTGCCTTGGGTAGGGTGACGGTGGAACTGATGCGGCAGGGGAACAACTTGGTGGTTAGCCGCGTGAAGCGGAGGGAGACCGGGGGGGCGGAGAGGGAAATTCTCCGTGAGTTGGGGTGGGTGTTTGCTTCGTCGGTTGGGAATACGATTCAGGAGCAGTGCTGGGTTGGAGTCTTTGTTGCGAATCCGTCTGGTGAGGCGGAGGCGTTTGATGTGCGCTTTGAAGGGCTGGTTGTGGAGGGAGTGGAGGATGAACCTTGATCTCTAGTCTTGAGATTTCATTTTCGCATTGAGACGTAGAGGGCTACGCTAGGCTATGCGAAGTATGCTATCTAGCTATCGATGGATGCTGCTACGGCACGTCTTCAATTCCCGCGGCAATGGTCTCCTCCAGATTAATCCAGCCCGGCTGGCCGTAGAACTCGCGCAGTAGGTCCTCCGCGCGGCGCGCGGGGAGGATCTCGCTCGCATCGCGGCCCTCGTTGGCCGGCGGGTCGGGGATTAGGGCATTGTCTGGTCGCAGCCGGCGCAGGATGCTGACCACGTCCGTCCAGTTGAACTCGGAGGCGAAGGCGAAGATGCGTTCCCCTCTCACGGCGGGGCTGAGCAGCGCGACGACATGCAGTCGCGCCGTGTCTTCGACGTTGACGTACCATTCTGCTCGTACGGACGGTGAGGATGGGAGAGTACTGGGGCTAATGTCTGGACGACTGGGCAGAATGACCTACGTGGAGGGAACTCGTCCATGACCGAACCGTCCCCACGGAGGAGGTTTCTCGTTCGGATCATACTCGATCCGGCAACTTGAGGATGCAGGATCCGTCCGAACTAGGTGTGGTTAGACTCTGCGAGACCTGGTGGTTTGGCCATGCTCACGTTGGAGTTCGGCACGACGGTGCTGAACCCGAACTGGGGCTTGCGCTCCCTCACCCATCGCCAACTCTCACGCTCTTGTTCGGTTTTGGCGGCGGAGTAGATATGATATGCTCTCTTCTCTGGAGGAGTGGATTCATCCCAGGCGGCGTGGACGGAGACTTCGTTCCATGTAGCTGTTTCACACTCATATTTAGATGTTGGAAACCCTCACCATGGAGGCAGTGGACCTACTCTCATCGACTACGGTCTTCAGACCTGGGGTTGGGAGCAGCGCCGCCGTAGAGGACGATGTTAGCACGAACCGCGTCACAGATGATTGACTGGCGGCAGCTTCCAGAAGGTGGATTGCCGCTCGCTTGACCCATGGGATCACCGCATCGGGGTCAGAATTGAAGGACATGTCCGATGCCTGCATCAGATGTTGTTTCTTAGCACGGTTCCGAGACATGAACACTAATTTCACATACGATGTGCAGCACTCCAGAAACATCTTGCATTGCCCGACGGCACATTTCCGGGTCATCCAGCAACGGGATGATGATGCTCTCATAGCGACCTTCCCCGTAGCGTTCTGTAAAATATCTATCCAGCCATGGTTTTGCCGTGCGGACCGTCCCGCGGACCTTGTAGCCTCGCTGGAGCAGGATGTCGATGGTATGCGACGCGATGTAGCCGTTTGCTCCGGTGACCAGGATCAGGGAGCCTTGGGGGATGACGTAGTCTGTTGAGTGCAGCATGTTTCTTCTTTGTTGTATAGTAGCCAACGCTGGATGTGTGTCGAGGAGAAGTGCTGGATGAGATGGGCTGGGTGTATGCAATGGCTTGTTTATCTAGGTCGTCGAACACAGCATCGACTATGACCGTGAGGTCAACTGATGTCAAGCTATGACGACGTCATCTCATAGACTAATCACTCTGTGGAGGTGTCTCCACGTGCCACCGACCTGCATTGAAACCTTATCATCCCTCCTCCCCAGCCCTGAAATCAGCGTGGCGACCCAAATGTTTGTGCGGATCAAACATCTTCAATCCACTCCGATCCGCCAGCTGGTCCAATTGTCTATTAGAACCAAGGCAGACGCAGCATGTGATACTCAGCTCCTGGGTGGAAGCGAAATATTTTACAGCCTGAGCCCAAAATATATTCCCTGAGTCCTCGAGACGTGAGCAGCGGTTTCTCTCCGTGACTATCGACCCAACCTCACCCACCACACCCAGCATGACAGACATCCCGAGCAGCAGACCCGGGGTCCAGACCGTCTCCAAGGAAACTCCTCTCGAGGAGATCATCACGATCCTCAAGCGTGATGGCTGCGTGGTTGTGAAGGAGCTCGTCTCCCCCGCAGACGTCGACCAGGTCAACCAGGATGTCCAGGAGAGACTCCACAGCGATCTCGAATGGAACGGCAGCTTCTTTCCGAGTAGGAGTCTCCTTTCCCTGGGCTGTATCTTCCACAGCCTCAACTGATTCTACCTGCTGAGACCGATGGTGGTAGAGGAAACCCGACGGGCCCCGTCGATGATCGCCCTCAGTCCCACTTACACCCGCACCCAGGTGATGAACCCCCTCTTCCAGGCCGTCTGCGCGCACTTCCTCACCACGCGCAGCGTGTTCTGGTGGGGCGACCAGCAGAAGGAGTCCGTGTCCAGGCCGTACGTGACCTCGTGCACGGGGATCGAGGTCGGGCCCGGGGCCCAGGCCCAGCCGCTGCACCGCGACTCGTACATCAACCACAACATCCTGCCGGAGATCGAGGCATGGGACGATGAACGCGACCAGACCCGCGAGACGGCGCTGGGAATGATGGTCGCGGGGTGCAAAGTCACCCAAGAGAATGGGGGGACGCAATTCATCCTGGGGAGTCATCTCTGGTAAGCCTTTCCCGTTGGGCTGGTCGAAAGACAACACGACAAGCAGCCATATTGATGTATTTGATTTCTGGGTTCATCCGCGCACAGGGGAACCCACCGCACGACGCCACCCGATGTGCGGGACTGTGTCGTGGCCGAGCTGGACAAGGGTGATGCCCTGATCATGTTCTCCTCCCTCTACCACGGGGGTGGAGCCAACACCAGCCGCGATGAACGGCGCATCGCGTACGCGACCTTCGCCGTGCGCGGCTACCTCCGCCAGGAAGAGAATCAGTACCTGGCGGTGCCGCGGGAGGTGGTGCAGCAGTACGATCATGCGACCCAGCGGTTCATCGGGTATTCCATGAGTGATCCGGCCTGTGGGTACGTGGAGGAACTCAGTCCGTTCTATCTGCTTCATCCGGAGTTGTTGCAGGATGCTAGGCCACAGGACTTTTGAGGGGCAGGACGTGTGTGTGAGTTTGCCTGTGTGTGCTTCTGCGTGAATTGCCTGGATTCTGCATCGGATGGACTTTAGAAGGGCTCCGGGGCAGGGGATGATAGAAACGAGACAAGGTCTCTGGCCAGAACATCAGGAGAATAGATTATTGGCTTACCCAGAGTATGATGTGGTCACCATCTCCTGCTCCCACCGCGTCGGTCTTAGGGCTCGGGATAAGAAGCGCGGAAAGAGGTCCTTGGAACCGTCTCGTACAATGCACCTTTGTCTTCAAGCACCTGGGACCTTATCTGACCTCTCTTTGCGGTGACCTTCAGTAATTTCATAAAGAAACAGTCTTCTCCTTCCAACCCGGATTGAGAAGTTCTAGAAAGATGGTTGAGCTGTTGTCCTTGGTAACAATGCATGGTGCGGGTTGATTGTGTAATGCCGCACAGCCTACCTTTCTATCCTCCCCCGGGACCAACCGATCCTGCAATCCAATCTCTTTCAATAGGGGTGTGAGAGGCTTGCGTAGAACAGATGGGTCTCAATGCATAAAGAGTCACTAAGAAAGAACAGTAGGAATCCATCATCACAGGCAAGGTGTGTCTTTGTGTCAAGCAAAGGCCATTGAGCAGACCCCGTCCGCCTTTCTTCCGATTCATCCACACCAGAGTCAAAGGAAGAAGGAGAATGAGTGGCGATTATCCCAAATCCTAAACCTGCTCATGAATAGATCCTTGATCAGCAAGCAAAAGCCCTCTCTGGGGCAACTGCCTCGCATGAATATAAATACCCGCTGCAGAGCCCACTTCATCCCGTCCAATCCATCAACCCACACATACAATCACCAACCGCAACCATCGTGATCGTTCTGCTATTCCAATCTCTACCGCTTCTTACGCAACAGCAACAGCAACAGCAACATGGCGAAACCTTACGATACGGGGGCCGGGGTCTATTTCTGGGTCCCCTATGATGGTTGGATGCAAGAGCAATGCCCCATCAAGCCCAATGTCGAGCACAAGACGGTGCGCAGCACGGCGGCGGCGGCCTCGACCTCCATCCTTGGAGGGAAGTGGGGCAAGAAGAAACAAGAGGAGGAGGAGAAGGGAAATCCGCCTTTCGAATATCACGGCCAGGAAGTGACCTTGGCCTTCGTTTCCGAAATCGTCCACTTGCTGGAGGAGAATGAGATCTCCCTTCACGCAATCAACGATGTCCTGTGGCGGTTCTACGGCTGTCAGAATCGCATCAACTCCATTGACCTGGTCATCCCCGCGGCTGACCTTGAGGATGCTGTCAAGGTCCTGCGCGCTGCCAAATTTGACGATGACCATCCCCGATGCATCGGTCATTTGGAGGTGACGGTGAAGGAGACGAACGAGCACTACCCCAGCGGCAAATGGAAGTCTGGAGAAAGGCATTTCATCGGCGCCCCCTGCCCTTACCTGTGGAATCTGCAGGCGCGGCACCTCGAGGCCTGGTGGGTGCCGGACCATGTCTTCCACCTGCAGCCGGCCCCCGGCCAAGAGCGCCACGTCGATCTCAACCTGTTCCGCCACGAGGAGTACTTCTTCCATCTCCCTTCCCCGGGGTCGAACGAGCTGTGGGCCCACGACCACTCGAAGAAGGAACAATCGCCCATCTACCTCGACTCGACCGATGTCGCCCTCGAACGAGAGGTGGAAGAACCCTATGCGGTCAAGATCCTGTTTCCCGCGCGCATGGTGGAGACCCTGATCCGCCTCAGCTACCAGGATTGGTACTTGCACAGCCCCATGTCGAGACTTTTGTCGGATTGGCATGGGTGGACCGAGTGGGATCGCACTCTCGTCGATATCTTCTGCTCCATCAAAGGCCGCGCCGGGGAGGAGGAAGCACGCCGACGGGTAAGAACTCAGGGGCACCAACTCAAGGTCAACAAGACCTTGGTCGAGGTCGATGATGATCACCTCGAGGAGGCGCTGCTCACCCTGAAGGGGCTGAAGCCCCACTGGTTCCGACTGAAGGACTTTCAGCCCCTTTTCCAAGAATACCTGCAAGCCCTGTCCCTCACGAGACGCAGCGGCCGGCCATGTAAGCCCTCGCCTACCCAGCAGGAGCAGGGGCAAGCTCAAGAGCAATCCAGCCCGTATCCCCGCGAATGGCTCGAGCATTGTCCCATTCAGGACCACTTCCAGCACTGGGCTGCCTTCTCGGTGATGAATGAGTTTGCCTGGCGCTTCAAAGAAGCCGGATTCTTCCCCAGCGGCTCTCCTTTCTACGTCGAGAAGACGACCCGGGCCATCAAGGCGCTCAATCACCCGCGGCCCCCCTTCGATGGGCTCAAAGACCCCACGCAGTGCCCCGGATTCTGGCAGTCGATTGCACACTCCAGGGTCGGATGGCGGAGACGAGACGAGCAGCATGCGCGGACCGATCCCTGGTCCCGACACTACCGTCCTTGGCCTTAGTCGGCTTGCGAGCTCCCCCCCCCCCCCCCTCTCCTAGTTTAGTTTTTTTTCCTATATATCAGCCAGCAACCCATCATTCGAGTTGTTGTTTTCATAATCTACACCCTGTGATCTCACTTGCCGGTGCCGATAATCCCCATGGATGAGCAGAACCCGAGATTGATTGAAAGAATGTAGGTCACTTGATTCCGAAATTCACAATCTTCCAGCTCCAGCACGCCTTGTACGGTTCAAATAATCCTCCGAAAGATAAACAGATAGACAAACAGACAAACAGACAAACAGACAGCCAGCCCCAAAGGAAACCAGAAAGAAAACCAAAAGGTAAATACCCTCAAGCAAAGACAATTTTCCAAAGCCAACTCACGCACGCCCAGAGCAGGACGGTCGCAAGCCCAAAACCAACAAGAACGGAACCACCTTCGACACCATCACCCCTTCCTTGGCTACGATATCTCGCCACCAAGGCCTCCATCTCGTCTCGAGTCAGACCGGCGTCGCTGTAAGGCGGTTGGTCCGAGTCGATTTGCGGTAGACGCACCATATTCCCCACAAATGGCCGGGGATCGAGTTGGTCGAGATGTATCAGGACGATCGGAATGGGACCACCTTGGATTTTGGCATGCAATTGCCCATCCACGCTGCTGAACTTTGGCTTGTTCGCGAGGGCCCGGCGCAACGCGAGCATATTCGCCTGGGTGTCAACCATCATGACGAATTCCCTCTGCGACATGTCAATCTCCTAGTTAGCCTGATGCTGGGAGGCGAAGATCAACGGGACCGGGCCCAGGAAGGACTCACCTCGGTGGGAGACGAATTCTCTGCGTGTGCCAATCGCTTTGCGGCCAGATCCCCAACAACCACTAGCTCCGCGTTCTGAAGTTGTTGGTCGTTGGCGCTGACTTCCCTGATAGCATTCAATAAGTTTGTCAGGAAAAGGCTCATGCGATATGTGGTGTCTTGGGCCATTTTGGGGTCTTGGGGAAGGCCAGCGGTCAGAAAGACGATCACAAGGTCGTAGGAAGGAGCTTGAAATCGAGGACAGAATGGACGAAAAAGAATAACGAGGATAGATCGATGACGAGGCTGCGGATGGAGATGCCCGTGGGCACGCTGGCGGCCTTTTCAACCCCAGCGACTTCCCCTCTGCCAACGGCAGTTTCTGACAAGAACGAGAAACTCGAGTACCGACGTCTCACAGCCATGTTCCATCTTCGCGAATTGTGGGATGGGAAATGGCATTCGCTGCCCACCTCAAGGTGGCTCTCCGAGGCATTCCAGGACACCACCGCGAGCGATTCGCCTGGCTCACGAACAACGCACATCGAGCCGTTTGCCTACCCCGCTTCCCTATTCACCGCAAGTGTCGAGACTTCTGCTTCTGAGATGATGACTGCTTTGTGAGCTCATGCGAAAAGCCATGTCTCAGTCTAGGGTGCCACCAGCTGGAGACCGAGGGGTCGAGAAGAGAACGAGGCGCGGTAGAGAGCGGCCACACAGTCTGCCAGCCAGCCCTCTTTTCTGGCGCCTCCATCCAAGGTCTACCTGCCGACCGACCGGTGTCTTTTCTTTCTGTTGGCGAGCCTGGGGGTTGATACTCGATATGAGGTTGAAACCCGGCATTTGCACGAGAGTGTGCACGGAAAATGCTCATCAATCTCAGTCTAGTGTGGATCCGGTCGGGAGGGGGGGATCGTGGAAACCAGATCGCTCACGTTGCGGGGTAATGGGCGACGCAGCGTATCGGCTTGACGGGGGTGACGGGGGTGGCACACATTTGCACATGAGCCCACACACCGATCTGGAATGGGAAGCACACCGCAATTCCCCGATACAGCCAATCCGAGGGTATGTCTGCTGAGCTGGGTCGGTTGTGTGACGATGGTCGTCAGCAGAACGGGCGTCGATGACAGCGATGACGATGACAAGGACGTCGGTGTGCGAGAGACGGAAGGCCGCACGCATTTCCCCGACCACGCAGGCAGAGTTGTACGCGGCCCGGTCGCTTGGATTGGCTAGCTGTGATGCGTACGGACGATGGCCGGTGCCGTCGGATTGCCTCCGATGCATGGGGCGCGCAGCGGAATTGTTGTGTCGTATGGATCGAGTCCCAGGACCCTGGCAAGGATCCCCTGGGTTGATGAGTGGTCTGGAGATCCAGCGAGAGGAAGCATGGATCGTGTATCACAACAAGGGAAGCGCAGTGGTTGATTCACGACCGGGCCCGCGGCCACGTCGATGGGCGGGATCGAAATCATGGTCGGGCGTTGTACCAGCCAACAGGGAACCCCCCGCCCAACAAATTCATTCGTGTGTCTATTCTTTCGGAATTTGGCGGTGCTCCGGTAGAGGAGGTGAATCTCCTGTAGAGTGTGAGGGTGTAGCGAGGTGAGGTTCCCCTGGCCGTGGCCTGTGTAGTGTGGTCTGGGCCTGGTCATGCAGCCAGGATCGTTGGATGGACAAGAATTTCGATCGTAGCATGTTTCTCGCCAGGTCAAGTAGACTCGGTAGGCAAGTGCCGCGGTCTGTAGAATGTGGAATTAATCGCGTTGAGCCGGTTGTACTTGCTGTCGATGTTCGTCAACATGGGTGGAACAATAGAGACTTCGAGGGCGGTCTCATCGAGCCGGATCTTCACTCACTAAGGAAGTCAGTTAAGATTGACCTTCTGAGAGGCCTCATCGTAGCTTTGCGAGAAGGGTGATTTGATGCACTGACGACATTCCACGTAGATTCAGTTTGGAGCATGATCATGGAAGTGTGTTGTGTATAGGTAGGTGGTAGGTAGGATGAAGAGACAGTCACGGACGGGCGGTGTTGATTGGAGCGGGAGAGCGGAGAGCTGCGCCACCGCTGAGTCATTAAGAACCGAGCCACACCTAAGTTGCGGGCAGCGGGTAGTCTGCGCCACAGGCTCAGCTGCTTGTACCGTACGAAGTATGTACGAAGTATGGAGTACAGTACGTACAGTACGTACAGTACGTACAGTACACTTGGTGACATGAGCAGGGCGAAAGATGATAATTGAGATCTGAATGAGCAAGAACATGGCCTGGCTGGTGAGCAGAATGACCGGTCTTTATAACTACGACCCTCTGGTGTATAATTGAGTAGGTATGATTGATGCTACACATTATTGATGCTAAGTTAGTTACCGTCGTATCAGTCCGGTGACTAAGTCTGGCTGGCCAGGGCGGTAACCTTGAAGCAAGCTGAACTCCCCGGTCGGCACTTTCAGTTGGGCCACAACACCACAACACCACAACACCACCACCACCACCGTCGTTGTCGTCGTCATCATCGTCATCATCCCCGGTTCTACTCCCCGACCCATGGCCACCACTACCCCACTCACCGGGGGCTGCTTATGCCAGAAGATCACCTACCGTGTGGATCTTCCCCCCACCGAACCCGCCCCCAAGGTACTGTCCAGTCACCCCAGCCTCCATCCACTCCATGGAACTTATCCCCTTTGAGCCTCCTTCTAATCTCAAACCCCCCAATCCCAGATCATCCTCTGCCACTGCACCAGCTGCAAGCGCTACACCGGCTCCGCCTTCTCCTCCAACCTCATCGTCCCCGCGGCCGCCCTGGTCTTCACCACCGGCACCCCCAAGCTGTACCTCGGCCACAGCGACCGCGGACCCCCCGTGCGCCGGCAATTCTGCGCGGACTGCGGCACCCCCTTCACCTCGCAGCCGGGAGACAACGAGGAGATCATCATCCTCAAGACGGGGACGTTGGACGAGGCGAGTCGCGTGCGCTGCGGGGAGGTGGGACTGGCGATCTGGGGGCGGAGTAAGGACGCGTGGCTGGACCAGATTGGCCGTGTGCGGTGCTTGGAGACGAGTATGGGGTAGACTTTGAGGGGTCTCATAGAGTAGTCGATTGCACATAGAGTAAAGTCTGGCGAGAATGCACATAGGGTCGAGAGGAGATAGGTGTGTTGTTAGCCAGCCGGGGTCTGTACCACTCTGTCCCGCTGGCAGGCATGCAACAGTGCCTTCCATCATCTAAGTATAGGTATTCGCTAATTCGCTAACGCTAACTACACGTATGTGGGACAGTACTCAATCTCCATCACTACCTACAGTCGCACCGACTTCTCGGCGGCGCGCTCCAGCACCCACCCCGCCAGATCATCCGCATACACCGGTCGGTTCTCCGGAAGATCCGCATGCAGGATATGGCTCCAGCCGTCGTAGGAGACAAACTTCTTCTGCGTCGACGGCACCCGCGAGGTCTGCTGATCGAACCAGCGCTTGCTGAGGTCGTGGCTGGTGCACTGATCGCCCGTGCCGTGGACGACCAGCACCGACTGCACGCCCGGGGACAGGACCAGCTTGCCCGCGGTGAGGGCGGCGGCGCGATCGAGCATGTTGGCGAACATCTCCAGCGTGCCCGTCAGGTGGTTGAGCGGGTCGTTCTTGACCTGCGCCTGCACGGCCGGGTCGCGCACCAGATTCTCGATCACCATCTGCTGCGTGAGCTGGAAGTGGGGGAGCAGACGGCCGGCCAGCCGGCCCGCGAAGACGAGGAGGGAGCTGGGCGTCTGCTCCGGCGTCAGGCCGATGTACGGCGCCTCGAGCATGATCCCCCGCAGCGAGGCCACCAGCGGTTGGTACTGCGGGGTAGACGCGAACGTCGCCACGAGCCCGCCCCCCATGGAATGGCCGCTGATGAAGACGGGGATGTCGGTCGGGGCGACCTGCTGTTGGGCTGTGATGAAGGCGGCCATGTCGGCGAGAATGGCCGGGGTCGGCCCCGTGTTGCCGCGGTCGGCTTTGCGGTGCACCGATCGGCCCCAGCCCCGTTGGTCGATGCCCGCGCAGAGGATGCCGTGTCGCGCCAGGGCGGGGAAGAGGTCGAAGTAGTTGTTGATGTGGTCGCTGAAGCCATGGAAGTGGACGATTTTGGCGAGGGGAGGGGTGGTGGGCTGTTGATGAGTCAGCTGTTCTGCAGGCAACCACATAGTATACTGTATACTGTAGCAAGGGCATTCAACTCACCGACCAGGTCTTTTGGTAGACCTCCACTCCATCCGGCAGACGAAAGGTCCCCTCTGTGATGGTGACGTCGCTCATGATGAATCTAGACTGGGTACTATGCCGGTGAATGGGATCTATCGCTAATCTACTATGTAGATCTAGATTGATCGCAGACTGGTCGGGTAATTTGACCAGATAGAGATCAACGTTGGGAATTTCCCCACAAGGCGGATTGTGGTTGGAATGAGTGTGGGGGGAAGTGGGAGTTAAGCGTAGGGAAGGGGAAAAAAGAGAAAGAGAAAGCGAGGAGCGGAGAATCTTTGAGTTACTGGACTGTAGTGACTGTACACGTATGTGTCCAGTTGCCAAGCGGCGGGCTTCTCCCTCGGCTGCGATGCATGCATCCATCACATGGCCGGTGCGGAGCACACGGAGTAACTACGTAGTAGTACTGCTTAACAGCGGTACAGTACAGTACATCTTGAGATTGGTGGTCTGCTGCAGGTGTGACCGGACTGGTAAAAGAATACGGAGTATAATTCGGCACTTGGGGATTCCCAAGTCAATTATGTAAGCTATGCAATGCACTGTCGAGTCACGTGCCTGGGTCCAGCCCTGCTCGGCCAGGATATGTACTCCCTAGTACCTACTTGCTAGGTATACAAAGAATCATCTAGAGAGTAACTTACACGTACGGTCAGCTACTCCGTCAACCCAACTCAAAGACGGACCGACCGACTACCCTACAGCCAGCTCGGTAGTGTACGACTAATGCCGGGCTCCACTCTTCTCCAAGTGAGGGGGTTGCATGTAGATGTAACCTCTAAGCGAATCTGACAGATCCATTCCCTTCGGCCACGCGACTCAACCCAGCACCTTGTGCCGAGTCAGACATCCAACGATGCAAGGGCCATCCCTACATTGCGCCTGGCTCTCAGGTTGCTCAATCCATTCTCCCATTGCGGCTATACGCAACCTTAATCCGACGTTTATCCTCCACTCTTCATCCAGTTATTCTTGACAACCACCAACCTTTCGAGGTGTCGAACACCACGAACCTGATCTATCACCCGCGGCCTCCCCCTCTCTCGTCATGTCCCTGTCGATCGCGATACATCGCAAGCCCCTATCCCCCACTCCCTGGTCTTCTCCCCAAAACAGCCGCTGCAGAAATATTCATCAGGTCGCCCGTCCGCTGCGACCAGGGCCATGATTCCAAATCTCGACCGCCACCCCACGCTTCTGCAACCCATCACCTGCAGCCGCCATCGCCGATTCGATCGGTACCGCATCGTCTCCCACCATGTCCTCCGAGCCCACGGAGGGTGATTTCGACCATCCCAACCAGCAGCTGCGACGATCCGTCATCATCGCCTTGCCGTTTGCCTTCGCTCTCTCGACAATCGCGGTGGTGCTGCGTCTGGTGGCGCGCCGAGTCAACGGCACGCGCCTGTACCTGGACGACTATCTGATTATCGTTGCGCTGGTAGGCATTCACCTCGCATCTCCTGGACATCGATTAACCGTGGTTTAGATCTTCAAATATGGCTGTTCAATCGGCGTCGTCATCCGTAGGTCTACCCTGCCCAGCCGATCGCTGAACCTAACCACTTTCACTGTACCCAGTCCTCTGGAATGGTCTGGGATCCCACATCACCATGATCCCGCAGAAGAACCTGGACGTCTACTTCCAGGTCAGCCCCCCCTCATCGTGACAGTTCCTCCACATCAACCTGACCAACCCATAGATCGGCTGGTCCAACGGCTTCGTCTACCCGCTGTGCATCGCCTTCATCAAACTCTCCATCCTGGCCTCCTACAAGCGCCTCTTCGCCGCCCGCAGCATGTCCGTGGCCGTGACCCTGGTGGCCAGCGCCGTGGTCCTCTGGGTCGTGGGCGTCAGCGTCGCGGGGGTGCTGTCCTGCGTCCCCGTGGCCAAGTTCTGGCACCGCGAGATCCCCGGCCGCTGCATCGACCCGGCGACCTTCTACTACGGGCAGCAGATCCCCAACATCGTCACGGACGTGGTGCTGCTGGTGATGCCGCTGAAGAGCGTCTGGGCGCTGCCGATCGCCAAGACGCAGCGGGCGTTGCTGTCGGGGGTGTTTTTGGTGGGGGTGTTGTACGTGCTCCCTTGGTTCACTTCAGATATTTGCTACGTGCTGATCGGGCTGGTGCAGGACGTTGATCTTCGATATCGTGCGCTTGGTCGCGATGATCCACATTACCGAAACTGGACCGGACATCACTTGTGCGTATCCCCAACTAAGATCTCGAGATCCAACCGGTGTGGCTGCTGACCTATCGACATGCGAGCAGACAACCAAGCTCCCGTGGCGGTGTGGACGTGCACCGAAGCCGCGGTGGGGATCATCGCCGCCTGTCTGTCGCATCTGCGGCCGCTGTTCCACCTCGGGGCCAGCAGGAGGCTGTGGCGCCAGCCCAGTCCGGAGATGCGCAAGCGCGAGCTGAACCCCCCACCGGAGGAGGGGTTCTCGACTGATGACACCCTGTTTGATCCGTGGGGGACGCAGCATAGTGGGTTTACGGGGCATAGTGTTTGTGTGGAGTCGGGGAAGTAGCCTGCCTGCCCTCGGGGAGGGGGATATGAAACATGGGGGTCGGGCCTTAGGGGAGGGGTTGGTGTCTGTTGGTGGGATTGACTGTCGATGTATATACTACCCTTCGTGACTCTCATTCATACACACTTTTACACTTTCACACGGAAGACCTCGGTATAAATACTACCCTTCGTGACTCTCATGCATACAATCCTTTACACTTGCACACGGAAGACCTCGATCTAAATCCTCACCTTCGTGACTCCCATTGATACAATTTTTGCCACTTCCACACAGATAACCCCCTACCTCAAACCCACTACACCCAACGTTATATCCCGACAGCACTCACACAGTCACATCCTCATCAGCCCTCACGCTCACCACCCCCTCGGCAAACCGTGTCAACCGCTCCCACCCCTCCGCGGTAACAAGAAACGTATCCGACAACTGGACGCACCCACCCCCCGCCCCAGGGACAAGAATATTGACCTCCACCGCAACCACCATGCCCGCCTGCAGCATCCTCTCCTCCCTCTCCTCCAGAAAAAACAGCTCATGCGGCCCCAACCCCACCGAATGCCCAATCCGCCCTGGGACATACGCCCCGTACCCTCTCACCTCATACCCCCGTACAGCAGCGCGGTACAGCTCCCGCACCGCCGCCCCAGGCCTCAGGAACCTCAGCACCTCAGCCCGGATATCCAGAGCATCGCGCATCGCGTGCCGCGGCGAAAGACCCAGCCCCAGCCCCAGCCCCAGCTCCACCTCCCTGATCCAGACGGTGCGCTCCAGCTCCGCGTGCATCCCGTTGGCCACCGCCCACACAAACACCGAGACACTCTCCCCGGGCCGCGGGACCCGGGGCAGCGGGTTATCGCAGCCGAACGCCTGCCGCGGGCCCGAGAGCACCCACGCCGTCAACCCGCTGTTGACCCCGCCCTCGGGGGATCCGAAGTCGCAGATCTCAACGGTGGGGTAGTGGGCCGCCCAGTGCGCGTGCATGCTCTGCAGCGCGGCCAGGACGGCGTCGCGCTCGCTGGTGCGGGGGTGCGCGAGTGCCGCGATGGCGGATTCCATCCCTTTCTCGGCGAGGGTGGCTGCGATGCGGGCGTGGGCGATCTCGTCGGGGTCTTTGATGGCTCTGCTGGAGTGGAGGAGCGGCGTGCAGTTAGTTAGCGTGGCGGTGGGGAGCGTGTGGCGGAGGAGGGTGTGTTGGGCTGCGGGGAGGGTGTCGTGCTCGATGCCGATGGTCGGGTGCGCGGGGAGGTCGCAGCCGTCCAGAAGGGTGGTCAGGGCGGCGGGCCAGGTCGGTGCGAGGGTTGGGGTTTGGCCCCAGGTGCCGTACAGGTGGATGGTGGGCGTCCAGGCGCTGGATTTGGCGTGCGTGCTGCGGAGGGCGTGCACCAGGAGGATGGGGCCGGATTGCCGCGGGAGGATGACGAGGACGGGGTCGGAGTAGATGATCGGGTTGAAACCGGAGAGGTAGAAGGTCGAGACGGGCTGGGTGCAGATGATGGCGTCGAGGTTGTGGGCTGTCATCTGGGATTGGAGGCGTTGCACGCGGGGTGGTTGAGAGGCCATGATGGTTGAACGAGAAGAGGAATATCTTAGGGCTCTGTTACAGCGGGGTCAGGGACGGTGTGGGTGGAAATTATATATCTCTCGTTCACATCGTCAACGGTGCGTGTGTCGGCCCACTAGAAGGTGACGAGGCGATATCTCAGACATATTGAAGTATGTTGACTAGCTTCCGAATACGCGAGTCAAAGTAGTGAGATGGTGGAGTGTTGTGGTCCCGAGTTTATACTTGGCTGAGATGGGTCGGTGTTGGTGGATGATCGTCGGGAGTTGTGCCTCCGCCTCACCCTTATCCATCTTGACAACATTTTCGCCGACTTCAACAAGCGGTCTCCATGGTGTAGTGGTTATCACGTGGGTCTCATATGCAAATATGACTTGGAAGTCGCACTTCCAGGACATCCCAAGGCCGGGAGTTCGATCCTCCCTGGGGACATGTGTTTTTGCTTGTTACCTTTCCTTTTCAGGTCGGGCCATTGCATAGGAGGAGAGTAGGGAACGCGCATTGAAAGGTCGATGCGATCAGATTATGGAGTATTCGCAATTCCCAACCTTAACCGCCCCCCTATCTTCATCCCTGATGCCATGTCAGTACTCCAACGCCAACAACAAAGGAACAACGCGAAGACATCGCCCCTATTACAGCCAATTCTCTGCCTCTGAAACAGCACGACTCTGCTCCTGAGGATTTATCTTTCTTTACGCACGGACCGAAAGGTCACCCTGACCACCCCACAAACCCGACAAATCCCCACTAAGACCGGGGTCTATTGAAGCTTGTAAGAACCCATGTCTCAAATGCCCCTGAATTGCCAGCGACCATCCGCTCAAAGAGTCTAGAGCAATTGAATCAATCTGCATGCCACCACTGCAGAGGATAGCACCCCAGACCCTCGACCGAGACCTGCAATCCTCCCCAATTTATACCATTGGCACCCCCATCACACCCTCCCT